CACTTTCAGTTGACTTCTCATTTCCCATGTTATCAACAATTTTTGGTCCCCCGTTGACATACTTGATACGCTTATTTTTGTTGACACCATTTTCTGTTGCCATATTCAATTGGGAGATCAGATTTTGTATATATTCCCATTGCTTAAGTGTGCAGCCTGCAACAATTTTTTCTTTGACTTTATATTCGTTCTTGTTCTTCAACACTTAGATTGCAAAATTCTTGTTTTAGATAAATTTATTGTTTTATTAAAAATAATTATTAATTAATAATTAAAGTCATTATTTTGGTGGTTTTTGCCCAAGCACACTGTTGACACAACACAGTCCTTGCTTGCAATTTCTGTGATAATAGCCATCACAGTCTGCCTATCTGTTAATTGTTCATTAAAGTTTTTAAAAAAATTACTAATTTTGTTACTATTATTGCAGCAGTTTGTTATATCATTGCAGTGAGTTTGTAGTTTTTCCTTTGCAAGGAAAAATTACAGTCCACCTGAAACTTTTCCTCTTTTTAAACTTCTATGTGTCATATTTCACTAAAAATGTACATTGTATTATACAGAATACGTAGTCACATTTAAAACATCAAGACAATATTCCTTTATTGTATTAATCTTTATAATTACATTTTGTTTCCTTTGCAAACAGTTTTTTATACTTAAAAGGAAACTGCAATATTGGTGCTTAGCCCTTTTGTAAGAATAAATACTCAAATATTAGTCCAGTCGATATGTACACTTTACCTGGAAAAAGGTCATAACAACTTTTTCTTTGAGTATATTGTATGTACCCAGGCACAGATAAAACTAAGTTTTCGACCTTTCAGATCCTCCGCTAACTCGAGTAGGCCCGAAAAAAAACAGCTTATTTCTGACTTGCTTCGTTTTTTCTCTTATAACTCTATAACCGGAAGTCGTGTAAAAAAATGATTGTAATTACTTTTAAAGAGGTTAAAATGTCCTACAACATTTTTATAAAACATTTTTTTGAAACCAATTACCACGAGAATTGCACATTTTTGAATAGAAGCTCTTTTTTCAATTCTCATAAATGTGCGCAAACATACACATTTGTGAGATTATAATCAACCTGTTATAACTATAATAGTTACTACATATAATACTATCATTTATCTCATCAACGATGTAATCATTGCCTCATAAACATACCCATTGCCAAAAATATTAATACCCCCCCACAGTAGATAGATATGTACACCTGTGTCTTTGTGTTCCAGCTTAACTCTTCAACAGGGGATCAATGTCATTTCAACAAAACTTGGTATAACGTATTACAAGGCAATTACAATGGAGAAAAAAGAATACACCGGGTGTAAGACATCCCAGGAGCGGTGGGTGGGAATGGAGTGACATTTTACAAACAAAACAATCATTCAAACTTGACTTGTGGACATCCATATTAGAAGGCTGCATCACATGTGGATTTATGGAAAGACCAAACTTAGGTTTTATCATCTTTAAAGTACCTGGAAGTGGAGAAGGTCCTGTGCTACTGTTCACAGATCTGTTGACAGATGACAAAAAGATTTAATCTGGTGCAGGAATATGTTCTGTTGTAGTTTCTGTCTGATTACACTGAACATTTCAGACAAATCACTATTTCCACTGTAGAATATTTCTTTCTATTGTCTTCACTAGGTATCACATTCAACTAAAAGCATAAAGGAAAAATCATATGTTCTCTTGTCATATTTGAATGATTTTGATGAATGAGAATTGACCTTTATTCTAGAATTAAATGTCTTGATAAGAAGCTACTTCTATTAGAAAAAGCAGTAGATTCATAACTTCATCTCTAACAGACTAGCAGTATATTGCTGTAGTTACTATTAAAACTTTTCTGACAAACACTGTTAACAATATATTGCTCCCATCCTTATGGTAACTCGAAAGGCAATTTTTTTTATTATGGATTTTGAAACCTAGAGTCCTTTGTTTTTCAAGGCAATCCCCCATTTTAGTAATTTTTTTTGGTACTAAAAACATTGTTCAATTGGTGAAGGTTATATTACAGTAACAAACATTGCGATGAGGTACAACCAGGGGTGTCCAGGGGGTGGGGCAGCTACATTAACTAAGTGTACAAAAATGCTACAAATAAAAATAAGAAAACACAGGCCCCAGTAATCAGGTAGCCAATGAGTTCCAACTCCCAAATCCAATATACAGCTTTTTTGTTCAGTTCTGAGGCTGTAAGTAGCTCGTTACATTGGGAGGGGAATGAAGCAGGGAATTTTATTCTCATTAAATTTTTGGGTGTATTTATTTATCTCAATCATATATGAAGCAGCTATGCTTGTCACAGTCATTGTGCCCACTCAGTGGACATTATGTGGTGTGTGCATTGCGGGTTGCATAATTACATTGTTTGTAAATATCACTTTGTTCTCACCCTCCTCCCCACCCTAGGGATAGATCTTACCCCCCAAGTGTATTCCTTTCCCACAGTAATGATCCAGAAATAAGTTATATCAAGATTTATTGAAATGACGTTGTTCCCACATTGAAGACTGAAGCTAGAACACAAATACACACATGTACATACATATCAATCAATTTTTTAATTTTTTGGTATATTAATATTTTTAACAATGGCAATATTTACACCACTGATGAGATAATGATAGTATAACTTATAATAACTATTATAGGTTGATTATAATCTTACAAAAGTGTACGATTGCGCACATTTTGGAGAATTGAAAAAAACATTTTTTTCAAAAATCTGTCTCCCATTGTAATTGGTTTTGAAAATCGTATATTATACACAAGTTGTAGGACATTTTATCCTCTTTAAAATTTATTTCTATAATTTTTGTACCTAACTTAAGGTTAAACATCTATAGAAGAAAAAGAAAAACTAAACAAGTGTTTGGGAAAAAATACAGGTATTTGGGGGTAACAGGAGATAGCGCAGGGTTTGGGAGGTTGATAACTTGGGGTTGTAACTAGTGCCTGGAGACATAAAACATACTCAAAGGTAAAAGTTTTATGACCGTTTTCCAGTACCTACTGACTGGACCACATGGTACAGTTCTGATTTTCATTAAAATCTCTGAAATTGCAGAAGTTAAATTTGTTTTCCAAACCTGTTCTACATATCCAGAGCCAAAGTTTTCTCTTTCAGTGCAATTTATCCAGTGGCAGTTTTTGCATATTTTTTAAATGGTAAAAAATGCTAATGTTTAAAGTACTTCAAATTCAAAATCCAAAAATTAGATTACATGTGTTGACTTGTGATGGAATAAGATAGAAATATCTATTAGTTTGGTTTTCCCATGGCTTTTGTCAGCCCAAATTGTAAGATTACACGGCCTGTTGCTCTACCCACGCCTGATCCTTGCCTACCAGTGATACATGACTCACCGTCCATGGTGAGTTCTTCTGGTTCAAGAACACATCATCAGATGTCAGTTGAAAAGAAGAGATACTCTCTCTGTCATAAAGCTCCATTAAAAATGTTTCCTTTTCTTGCCACAGGAGAAGGAAAAGCTAAGAGTTCATCCTCAGAGCCACTTCAATTGATTGTGATTATTTTCATGAAGGTTAAAAACTTGAATGAATTAAAAATGTATACATTTCTCCCTGAAGAGCAAAGCAAATATTTTACTTGGTAATTACATCTAGGGAGGACGACTTTCCTCCCTTTCATCCTGAGAAACCTTCACAGAATTTATCCCTCAATTTTACATCAGTAAATGATGTCATGCACTTTTTTTTTTAAATGTGAGTAGTTGTTGAGTAACAACCCTAAGAGCAGGAAAAGTGTTGGAGTGGAGTGCCTAGTTTGTTGAAACATTTTTCATTATTAACATTAGTTGTTTGTGAAATGAATATTTTGAATGACTCGCGTCTTCAATAATGAAGGAATGTTGCCAGTCTTTTTGAGTACAAGTTGAAATAATAATTAATATGACCAAGGGGGCTTAAGTTTTCACCATTCCCTCATACACAATAATTCAAGCAGGCTTACATCCACCCATTCATAAAAGGTTGAATTTCCTAAATTTCACAATTCCTTTTCCTTTGTTCCAGTTAGTCAACCAATTTTGGAAGATGAGTCCAAATCTCATTAGATTTCTTGCCAATTCACATAGCCAATTGCATTATTGTATTCCTGTGCTTTAGTCACTTTCAAATAAGTCTATCTTGGGTTTTTAAAGGAAATTTTTTGAATAGGACTAGGATTTTGGCCTGCAGTCCCAACTCCCAATTTGGAGGGCAAGGATTTGTGTTAGCCTTGCTCCTGAACAGAGATAGCTTCCCACCTTTTGCTGTTCTCAGAATGTGTCAGGGGTTTCCTTTCTGCCATAGGATCAACTTCTAACATCAAGATGTAGGTCCATCACTTTGAGCAATTTTGAGCCTACATTAATGTAAAACGTTTTATAATCGTTTTTTTTTCTTCCAATTTTTTTTCTTTTTGTGATAAGTATTAATGCCTGGTAGGTGATGTTCCAAATCTTCATTGCCTTCAGGATTCTTCTCATACTAACTGTATCCAGAACAAAATGTGTGCAAAGTCAAATTTTGATAGAGCTATTATAAGATTATGAAAAAAATTATTTTTTTATTGTATAAGCGTATGATATAATTAAATATGTACTTGAAAATACATTATGCTTTGTTCTAAGGCACACATTTACTTTTCAAAAGTTAATCCTTAAAATCATTCTAGAGGACATATATGGCACTAGTCTTGTTTGTTTGTTTGTTTAATTTATTACATGTGGTCTTGATATTACAATGGTCATTCTCCCAAATTCTGCTTATATAAATGCTCCCATTTGTTGTACAAAGAATCAAAATATGGGTGTGTATCATTTTGGAAGAGTCCTTACCATAGTGTAATTTTTGGGGCATTATAATTTTCTTTTTTATATCATAATCATTTTAAAACTTATCTTTCAATAGTACATTAAATATATTAATAAATTATTTGAAAAGCTTGATATATTCTATAGTAGTAACTTTTCTAGGAATGGACCGTTGTGCCCAAGGCACCTCCTAATGTAAGTGATGTAACATATTGGCGAATGTCTTTCTACAAACAAGAAAAGGAAATAATGAATAATTTAAATGGAATGAAACATGTTATAAAACTCATAAAGGTAGGTGTAGCTGAAATGGATTTGTCCTTATAACTCTCTAAGAAATACAGATTAATTTCTTTTCATGTTTTTAAAGCTTTTCCGTGACAAAGAGAAATGGAAGGTTCTCTCCAGTTATGCCATAAAGACAGTGTTCCTTTGGGAATGTGAACGACAACCCAAAGATGGCTTCTGGCAGAATGGTGTCGGACAGTTATTTGTACATGTGAGTTTGGCAGCTATTTTCTTCACTCTAAAAAAATTGACTAGTCTTTAATAATTTTGTTATGTGACATTTCAGATGTTACGAAGATTACATGAACATTTAATGAAACAATCAATTCCATTTTACTGGGATAAAAACCACAATTTACTTTCCCAAGTAAAACCGGACACCCTAACGATTTACAGCAACCGCGTCTCAGTTGTCCTGAAAAAAATTGATTTACATTTAGAAGATGACCCTGATCTCATTAAGAATATTTTAGGGTAAGTAACTTTCTAAGTTACAAACAAATTTGGGGAAAACACACACACCCACACAATACCATTTAAAGGGTTTTTATGTCATATAAATAACTCAATGTGATTATAAAAAGGCAGTTATATTGAGGTCAGAGTCTGAAACTCCAATTTGATTTACAGAGATATGATATTTTGTATAATTTAATTCCAATATTAAGCAAAATTGGAATGTTTACAGTACCAGGATTATAATGTTGTAATGTACAGTTCATGGGCTGGGCTTTTCAAAGTTGGGTTCCAATTTGTAGTTATTTTCACAATTACTAATAAAATGCAGAATGTTCACAAGGGGCTTAGTAATTGAAGATTTAATAATTTATGTTAACTGGACCAACCAGTCTGCTGAAAATTTAAAGTACCAAAAATGACCTCATTAAAAAATTGTAAAATTTTGACAAAAATACGTAAGTATTTACTTATAGAACAATGTAATTGTTAATACAGTGTTCGTTCCAACACAAATACTGGATGAGCCCATGCATCAAAATAAGGGGATATTACTTGTGAGTTGCAAGGGTTTTGGAATGACAATCATCTGTACCAACAGAAACCCTTAAGGTGCAATTACCTGTATTGTTTTTGACAAATAATACATTTTTTTATTCAATGGAAGTTATTTTACTTTATTGTGAACTCTATAATGAAATAACTGTTAATTAACAATAATCTTAATCATTGTAAAGTCAAAATAAAAAACTTCAATTTTAATTTAAATAATAATAACAATAATATTAATAATAATAATTTTTATCACTAATTTGTATCAAATTATTTAAATCTGGCCTAGGCGTGTTTTTACGTTAAAAAACATTGCTAACATTGCTTTTTTTCTCAATTTCAAGCAGAATTCAAAAGGATACCCCAGAAGACAATAAATATAACCTAAATTCCAATTTATTTAAAGAGATAAACAGTCAACAACCCGCTGCAATTAAAACTAGCAGCAAAATTCCATGTGATGTAACAAGAATTCATGGTTCAACCTCATGGATTGATATAACAGAAAGAGGAATCTCATCTGCAAAGATAGGAAGCAATGCAGATGAGAATGTGTTGTCAGAAACAAAGCTGAGAGAAAGTGTTGATGCGGCAGGGCACTTAAAAATTGGGTGTAAAAATAATGGGATACATCAGACCACCAAAATATCTGATCCAGTTCTTGAGTTACCAGGAAATTTGAAGGAACAGCATGACATTAAACAAACTTTGCAATTTTTGCTTCAGCAACATATTCAGATAAAGAAAGAAATAAAAGAACTGAAAGAAGAAAATGCTTTATTATGGAAACATTTTAATAACACAGCAAATTATGCACCTAACCCTCAAGCTTCTAGTGCTGTACACACTTTTTTTGACTTGCCATCATCGAATCAAAATTGCCATCTGTGTGGGACTCTGCTTCCAAACAGATACCCTGCTCCCGAGCAAAAGCAAGTAGTTGCTAGAAATGCAACAGGACAAAATAGCTGTGTACCTGATACAATTAAATGCAATTCCTACATGGTAGATCTGTTTGATGTATTTAATAATAAGCCTCAAGAAGATACAAAAGCTTTAAATAATCTTTTGTAATATTTCTTGGTGTTCAAGAGTGAACCACAAATGATGCACTTCCAAAACATGCTTTAATTATATTTTTTCCTGAAAAGGTCTAGTGAAAAAACATCATGCTCTTTTATAGAACTGTGAGTTTGATTTGATTTAATTATTTATTGTCTGTAAAATAAAGAAAGCATGAAAAAATGTAGGTGTTTTTTCATTATTACATTAACAAAAATCAAACCACCTTGTGTGTGATGAAAACATTTTCATTTAATATAAGTCTTTTAATGATACCATTTCTTCCAAGCATCGCTTGATTTCGTGATATTATTTCTCCCATACTTTACATATGTAATATGAATATTTGTTAAAAATTTATCTCATTGTTTGAACAAAACAAAATTATAATAATTATAAATATTAAAGACACATTTGCTTCAACAAATATTTTCAAATAATGAAATAATACCTGTATTTGGAGGTCCCAATAATGTAATATGCTATGTAGTGCTTAGATGTTTTCAAATAAATTGCTGTTTTAAACTGGGACCACAAAGAAATAGAACCACTTATCCATTTTAAAATATCTGAATTCAGAACTACACAATAAAAAAGCATACATTTTCTTTAATACCTGCTAACTAGTGAATGGTGTCTAACGGCTGCTAACTAACCACAGTGCTCGATGTCTCTGTATGGCATACCGAAATGAAAGTAAATGCAGGTAAAAGGTAGGTTATAGCAAATAAAATCCATTCTATTCAGGCATGGCGTATCATGAATAGTAACAAAAGGGAATTCCCCTCTGGAAGCAGCTTACCTTGCTGAAGGGTTAAATTTCATTCATAATAATTATTGTACCATTACTTCATATTCATTCCGAGACACATGAAACATTCCTGTAGATTCCACAACATTAATTTTTCATCTCTTTTGTTGATAGATCTGCTATTTTTACTTGATTTTGATAATAAATTTTTAATATTTATTTATGTTTGTTTTTTCCTTCCATCCTTTGAATTCTTATTTCTTCTACTTTGTTCTCTCGATTTTCTTATCAAATTAATTTCATTATTAATGAGCATTTTTTTAAAAATGTTTTTGGTGGAAATCGAAAGAAACTAATTTTTAAAGGAGTGATCTTTTGCTACATTTATTATTTAGGTTATTAAAGCTTGTTTTAACCCAGATTTTAACTTTATATATAAATTTGAATTATACTACCTCTGTATTGTAGAGGATTTGTTTATCCTAAATTGTCTAGAGTTTGATTCCATGTGGATTTTTAGAATTAGTTCCGTCAAAGGTTGTGTTTTCAATCATGCAAAATAGAGGATACATGTCGCACTAGTTTCTGAAAATCAAGCATATCAGTTAAGAGAGGCCAATGTGCTGCCCATGATTCTTTACAAGTTGCTGTGTCAGTTACAAAATTGATGTTCAAGATGATATTTACTTGTCTTTACATTAATGTTATTTTCTCTTGTCATTTATTTAGTTGCTATTTACTTGAGCACTCTACTGGCCTAGATGGTGTCCAGCACCTAGTATGTAGTTGCCACAGGAGGGATGTCTCATCTTGGGTGTGTGTTATGTCTCTGAGGATCTTTCATTCTGTTGATTCCACATCCAAGGAGCTTACAAGTTGTTAATGTATTTATATCACCACCATATGGGGTGAAGAGGGTAACAGGTTTTGCCTAGAAAAAGTCATAAAATGAAATTTTGTTGTATATTTAAATATTTAGAGATTAAGTACTTCTTTAAAATACCCTTTTTGTTTTGCTCGTCTTAATAACGGAAATTTTTTTACTGTATTTTTAAATTTTCGACAACTTTTTACTGTGTTATTTTGTTGGTCATCAACTTCCAAAACTACTACCTAGCTTCCAATTCAATTCTATTATTGATGAAATTTCTTTCTGAAATGTTTCTCATTAGGACATAAATTAATAAGTTTCATGCACCTCTGGTCATTTATGGGTCACACTCATATAATCTTAAAAATACCCTTTGGTTAGAAGTCTCTACGGTCCTGGGCCGCCTTTTCTGCTTGTGCCCACCTAATGGTCTACAGGCCCACAACACCTGCTGTAATTGTCAAAAACATTTGAGGATGTGAATGTGTATTTTCAATTATGTACTATCTGGTGGTAAAGTCTTAAAAATATGAGAGTTTGCCATTGTGAGACTTGTGTGTTGGTCAATCTTAACAAAAACATTTTTCTGAAGAAATTGAAAGGTTAAAACTTTGTTTCAGAAGACATATATTCTGGCAAAACTAAATATTCATGACATTCAAAAGAGAATTAAAAAATCCAAATTGTTAAAGTGAATGATTTTTTTTTTATAGCCGGTATTAATTGTGTAATTGTATTTTACTGCTTTCATGACTACACCATCTTAGTAAACACAGTCTTTTTCATAGTGATCCTTAAATAAAATGAGAAAAATAGGTATTACTTTTTAAGTAAAATACACAAATGACAACTATGTAATAATTTATTTGCATTCTTAGAATAGATTTGTACATCTTTGGCAGCATTGTAAACCTATTCACTTCACAAAAATAGTTGTACATAATACCTGCATGTATATATCAGTCATGGCACATGAAGAAACTTGTGCAAGTGGAATGTAAACTCGTAATCACTGAATTATTACATTTCTGGAAAAATTTCGTGCAGGACCACTTCCAACAGATCCTGAAAATTGAATGTTCATAATACAAACTATGTTGAAATAACGTCTCTTAAAGAAAATAATATTTATTTATACATCAAATGTATGCCAACCTCCCTCTAATGAGCTTCTGAATTGAATATTTACGAAAAGATTTTTCCAAATTTGTATTTCAAACTGAAATAAGTTTTTCTTATAGTTTTGTAGTCCTGATTAATTTTGTGCTTTGTTTTAGGGTACATTTGAAATCCCTTCCTGATAAGAGAGCTGGCATGTCTCAGAAAACCAAAAAGAAGCGAAACAGAATGTATGCCAATTAATACAGTATTAACCGATTCAAGGCTATCTTCAGACTATTGTGTAATAATGCAAGAAATGGAAGTACAGAAAACAAGTCTTTATATCGTCATAAAATAAATAAAATTATGATTATTAATGATGTGTCTTTCTTTCCTGAAACACTGGACCAATTAATTTAGAAATTAAAGTTCTAAACCAGGAATTACACATTAAGCTGCATTCCAGTGTTTTATTTGCAAGAGCCACATCACAGTTACATATTAATTAGTAAACATGTTCAAATGAAGTTAAATTCAGTTAATATTGTTACATTTACTTAAGAGCCACGTAAACTATCGGTTAAAGCTAAAGTCCGAAATACAGCTAAATAGCTGGTAAATTCACACAAGGTATAAAGCTGTATGAATGATGATAAAGCATTTTGGACATCATCTGGCAAATATTAGCAATAGACACAGTGGTAAATAAAGTAATGTGATCGTTCCTGTGCAAGGCATTTTGCTTATTAGTAAGAAATGTTTCATCATAAAAATAAATGGGAAATTATGCATTACTAAGTCTCAAAGTTTGTTTTATGTAAATTGTGATGGACCCAAAGTATGGAGCCTTGTCAGAAATGTTAGAGAAGTGTCATGAATGGGCCAGATTCGGACATTAGCAGTAACTTACAAATGAGGAGAAAAAAAGGGGAAAATACTAATATTATATCAACATATTTTTATCGGGGAAACAAAATACAATACAATTAATAGATGCTGGGAGCCATTCTAAGAGTCATGTTTGCCCAAAGTTGTATAATGACCCTTCTAATTATAATAAGCTTGTTTCAAAACTTACATAAAAGAGGTGCTTGTTAAGGAGAGGATCTTGTAAGATATCAAACACTTTTGTGGCTCCACGTCTGCTTGCTTGTTGCCCAACAATGTTAGTTAACAATTCAGGAATATTGGCCAGAAAATGGTCCCTGGCTTCAGATCTGCAGTCATAAAATAATCAGCAAACACAATTAGATTTATTAACACACAAAAACATAATTAATTCCCGTTCTGATATTCCCAAAACAAAGATAAGAAAATAAAAGAAAAATGTTGCTAATTAGAAAAATCTGGAGTCAAAACCAGTTAGACAATTGTCCAAGGTTTGAAACACCCTAATATTAGTATCTATTAAGTGAGAAGATCTTCTTCAGTGAAATACAGTAAGGAATTCCACAATAATATGGGACAAAAGTAGAAATAAGGAAACAACCAGTAGGTTGTGAAAGAAATAGTAAGCAAGAATATCAACTAAGTTTTATAATTGTTTGTGAGTGAAGAGGACTTAAACATTTCTATAGTTGATTCTTCCCAGGAAGGTAAACAAGATAACTAACATGTTAGGAAAATATTATCTGACTTGGATGCAACCTGTGCAATGGAGCCTGATGAAATACCCCTGATACTCTTGAAAAGATAGCTGGCTATTGTGAGCAATTCCAATTTAAACATACCACAATATAACCACACTCCAATTTAAACAGTGTTCCTTTAATGCCATGAGCTGGAAGGAAAGATGAATGCTGACATCCAGTTAGGCTTCACTATAACTTCAATTATTGGTATTTAAGCTCACGATTAGATGACAATATCTCCCTTTCCTTCCAGATCGTGACATCAACCCCTTTCAAAAGAATTGTTGGCTCCATTGATCCCTGTACAATATTCACCGTAACAAAGTACATAATCACAATGCAAAAACCTTCCCCATAAATGTCCTAAAGATTCCAATTTTGTACTTCAGTATTATGGTAAATATCTAGATTTACGTATAACTGCTGGGGAACTCCAGCAGATGTTCTGCCCTCCATCTCCCGCTTTCTCCTTCCCTCTCCTTTTCTCTCTCTGTCCCTGTCCCTCACATTCACATTCACATTTAGTTGCAGATTTTGCAAGTCTCTGAGCAGATGGGATAATATTGAGAAGGCTTGATTATTTGAGGCCTTTGGCCTCAATATATTAATTTTTAATGCCCTAGATAGCTTTTAGAAGTTATTTAACAATAAAGATTCAAAAATGCTGCCGAGTGTTGCATTTGACACAAATATTTAGTTTTGTTCTACAATGCCATCTAGTGAAGTTGCACAAAATTAACAGCACATAAACCTGGGTGAAAAAACACACACATGTGCCAACTTTTATAGAGATATAAATATATAAATAAAAGGTAGAGGAGTATTTTCTTCTACTGTAGAATCGTGTTGTCAAATTTATAGTTTTAATTTATTGAGTTTTCTAAACATCCTAACCAGTTGCATAGCCTGGTTCTCACATGCCCTGGAGCAGAAAATTGAAATAGGGACCCCATCTACAATAAAGGTGAAATTAAGTTTTAAATCTAATCAACATACATATAAAGAGAGAGGAGAAAATAAGCACAGAGAGCAGTTTGCTTTACTCTTCACTGATAACCATCTGAGGGAGTCCTTATTTAGGATCCCTTACTTCCAGGGAGCAGTGTAGGGCACCTGTTGCACCAGATAAGCTATAACCCTTGATACTAAGAATGGACGACAAACGGAGAAAGAGAAGGGAATTCATAATTTATTACTAGGTTTGGTTGTTCTATATCAGAAAGCAATTATCATCTTCATTTAATATTTTTGTAATCAATGTGATTGTTATTATGCCTATCTATCGCTAGTTCATATTCAGCTATAGATCCCCATCAACCCCTTAAAAATTCCATCAATCCTCAGGAGATCAACTCTGACACCCCGGGAACCCGTTCTAGAATATGTAAATATAGGGTGTCCAGGGAGAAAATGTTGAAACTTCGAAAATAAGTTCTTAAAACAATTTTAAGCATATTTTAACTATTAAACTCCTTGGATATTCCGAATGGCTGAACTGCAATAAGAACTCAAAAGTTGGTTTCGAAAAATACTTTCTATGCAAAGATTTGCATTGCAGAAACTTCTAAACACTCCAGAAACAAGTAAATTGTATGTACAAGAAAGAAAAAGTTACTTATTTTAAATGTGGGGATGGGGAAAACTATTGGAAAGTAATTGGACACACTGAAGAATGTACTTACTTTGAAACAAGTGAGGCTCAGTTGCTCTTTTGAAACAATGGACTATGTTACACAGAGATTGGACTATTATGAGTACATGAGGTTAGAAGTAAGGAACAGGAATAGAGTATAGGGAAGAAGGAAAATAATTTGGTATGAAGTAATAAAAAAACAACTAACTTGATACAGATGGAAGCAATGAATAGGGAACAAAACAGACCAGGATGAAGTAAGTTTGCAAAAGAGGCACCACCATCACTAACAACAACAGAGACAAAAGGCCAGTCAACTATTGTTATGAATATTCTTAGGATCACCAAAGATTGCATGTAATATATGTACTACCATCTTTGATACAAAATAGAGGAAGTTTACTTTGAAACAAGAACTGGAGAGGAGTTTAACTTCAAAATTTTGAGGTCTATCGCTCTTAAATTGCCTACCTTGTCTTCACTTTCTGCTCATCAGTTCGCTGAGGAGGAGGTGCTTTTAATTTACCATCAATCCACCAAGATTTAATAATGAACTGTATATATGAATACACCATATGCTCAGAAAAGAGTCCTGTAACAGTTTCTCGCACTTGCCTGCATTGAAATGAAATACATTATTGATTTTTCACCATTAGGTAAAAAAGTATATAACACCAATAAATAGGAAAAGTTGTTTATGACAGTGACAAACTTGAAAGGTAGATGATGAAAGGAGAGGTTTGAAAGAGAGGGAAGAAGACAAGTCAGAATCAATCTATCTTTTTACTTTTAGAACCTAAACTATAAGTTTAGGGAGGAAAAGTCTAGTGGTCACCTCAACAATTTGATCTCTAAGTTTTGCACGCATGTCAGGATGAAAGTTTATTAGTGCCATTCCAAAGATGGTTAAGACTGGTGCACTTGGTGAGGAGATGCACACAATTTTGTACCCGAAAATTGGGGTGTCTGTATGGATGGATTTAAGTATATGTAAATTAGAAATTTTTGAGCTGAAATTTGGTAAACACACCAGGAGTAAGATCTAGTTGTGCTGTTCAGGAGATCATTAAGATTTTTAATTTTAGGGGGAACTTTAAATGAAACTCCTGCGACACTGAAAATTTTCTGGAAAACGGATAGTAGTTTTCCTTTAATTTTGTTTACTCATATAGAATAAAGTGCATTAATAAATACAGTATAGATTTGATTTTCATTAAAATCCCTGAAATTTTAAAAATTGCTTAAATTCAAATATTTTTCGAATATCTCATACACCTTCAATATTAATGCCGATATAGTTCTCAATATTCTTTTTTTTTTCAATGGCAGTTCTATAAATGAAGTACACTTTTTAGAAAAACTGAGTAACAGTTGTATAATAACTAAGAGGAGGAAATGTTTCGGTATGTTGCGCACTCCCATTAGTTTTTATTCCTAATAGGCACATAGTTTTAAAAGTGGTAAGGATCAATTAGAAAGAGGACACATTTTAAATAAATATATAGTTGTGGTTGAAAAACAAAACATACAGAAGATAAAAATACATCAAGTGAGCTTTACTGAAAAAACAGAGGAATGACTCGTTTCAACTTCATGATGGTATAATTAAAGGAATTAAGTTGTTGTAAGAGTCAAATTTACAAAATAATGTCATAAAATATAAATGGTGAATTAATTTGATTTAAATGAATGTATTTGTTAATCTGGAAATATAGAATTTAATTTCTTTGCAATTACTGATGTTGCTGTATCATAATACACGGCTCATCCACAATTATACTATTGTTATAATGCACACAAGTAACAAGAGAACACTTCTCTCTACCATGAATTATCAATACAAATCACTGCAAAGATACCAAAGTTTCAAAGTTCTTTCACCTATGTAAAATCAAGCAGCTAAATAACAAGATCATTTACAATAATAGCGCAGAACCTTGAACTTCAATCAAAAGTGAATTTAAATATTGTCCAATTTAATTTCCATGTCTTTCTTTTTCATTTCAATTCAATTCAACAAGGAATTATCCTAATCGTACTTGGGATATACATATACAACACCATACTTTTAATGAGGTAAATTGGAAATGCGCTAGAAAATATAGATATACATAACTATAATACCAGAAATAAGAACAATATACACATTGTGAGTACAAGGCACAGAAAATCTCTCTGAAATCCTTATCTTTTAGGAGTAAAATTTTGCAACAAATTGGCAAATGAAATAAAAATATCTAAGCAATTTTAAATTAAAAAAAGAACTAAAGAATAAACTTAATAAACAAAGCATTATATTCTACAGATGTGGAAAAAAAACTAACTTATAGAATATTGTGGAATGCATAAAATTAAGAAAAATAATGAGATGTACTATGCTGAATCTATATGTACAAGTGTATGGATAAATATAAATTTGAAACTTGCTGGTATATATTAAAAAAATGTATGTATTAAATTGTATATTAACTGCAAAGTATGTGACAATGTATACATTTTTATATTCAAATGTAATTATTTGTATACTAATATTACAATTTTAAACATTATTTTGTAACACAGTAGTAAGCCTATTTTATGAGAAAATGTATTTGTTAGGTTAAAATAGTTGAAATTCGTATTAGTGAATAGTTAAACTCAATTCATGACATGGTCTATAATGGTATTTGTACTATCAAAGATTTGAAATAATAATAATAATAATAATAATAATAATAATAATATTAATAATTATTATTATATTAATTAATTTCAGGTGTCCCTAACTCCATTTTAACTTCTAATAAAATCAAAAGTTGTCCTTGATTTCTTTTTCACTTATTCAATGACTGTTCCCCATGAATAATTGCTAAATATTTTAAAAATATTGTTTTCCACAATTTTATGATAGTTAAAGTACTCTCAACTACTGTGCTCCTGCAACACTAATATTAAACTAGTGGTGATACAACAGCACATATTTTCCATTATTTCTAACTGCTCCACTATATTATACTACATATACCTGCAAAAGTGTAATCAACCATCAAAAATTGGTTTTTGCAATAAGATTCAAACTCACGTCTTCTCAGTTTATTTGCCCCATGCCTCTCCTCTATGCTATTGAAATGGAGTGAATTTCAAACTGGTTTGTAGTTCTAAAATGTTACTTTTGCAATTTTTGCAACTTTTGAAAATATGGAGAGTTACTTGAAAATGGGACTAGCACCATAAGATTTACTCCCCCTTGATACATAAAAGGAGAAAATTTAAAGAAAAAAAAATTATTGGTTTATAACATTTTTTTTAATTGCATAAATTTCAAGCATGAATTAAGTGAATCTACTTGTTTTTTCAAGAAATTGTACTTAACCTTTTTATAAAGAGCAGATTTTTTAACAACAGATTTTGTGAAGAGCAAATATTTTTTCCTTATTCTATATTTTGAAGTTTTCAATTGTTAGGTTCTTGCAAATTTCGAAAAACCAGAAAGGCCACTGAAAATGGGACTTGCACCATATTTTTAACAGTCCCTTGATTAAAATCAGAAAATTTAAAGAAAAAATTGGAGTGGTTTTTGAGCAAAAAATAGTTTTAAAAAATTTACAAATTGCCAATATTTCACACAAAACCTATGGTACTCACATTTTCAAAAAATTGTATGTGTCCTTATTTCAAGATATAATTTTAAAGAACAGATTTCATTAAGGAAAAAAATCTATCTTCAATATTGTAGTTGTAGGAAGACACTCCAAAGAAATTGGACTTCAGCAATTTTCTAAAAGTCAGGGATTTTAACAAACATGAGACCTGGATCATTCTCTTAAGCATCTTTTACATCTAGGACAAAGTTTAATTAAAAATTTGAAGCCATTTTTATGAAACTTTTGAAAATGTTTTTGTGCCTTCATGCCTCAAAGCTCAAAACATCCATTTGAAAAGCCTCGAGTTCGTACTGATCGACAGGGGAATATGAATTTTGGAGACCCACAAAACATGGATTCTAGCTACACCACTTGTTAGAGGAAGTAATTTACTATACATAGGAACAGGATTTATACACTTTTTCATTACCAGGGCCCGACACAAGTTTTTCTGGTGAAAATTCACTATTTTCTGTCGCCCGATAATACTTTCTCTTCTTTCATTCGTAAGGGTGAGAAAGTAAAAATGACAAAAATAGTTTTAGGCTGATAATTTGAAGACATCTTACCTGCTGATTGTTTTATTATATGTAATTTGTACAAAAGTGATAATGGTTTTTCTGAGCCACATAAATACACCTTTCAAATCAAAGATCTCTCCAAGTAAATCATACAGTGGCTCTGCAATTCCATCTCTGCCACCACTATCTTCAGTAGGAAAGGTTCGTCCATCACTCTCATCCAGGAGAAGTAGGAAGCTCTCATCTTCACTATCGAGGCCTCCAGAATCAGCAGTAATGTCTGTCCCCGAGGACAGACCCTCTACTAGCTGCAATGGGCTGAAGTTACAAATTCTTTTAACTGCCAAATTACTCAGAAACATGACTATTGTAATTAAATATGTGAATAGAAGACTACAAAACAGCTGCCAACCAATATTCTCCCCCCCTCCATTTCTTGTAATGAATTCTATGCGAAAGGGACATGATACGTTTTCTGGTAGTAAAACAACTACCATTACATCACAAACATTGAAATTTCATTTTTTATTTTTTAAATCGTAAACCTTTTAGACTAGATGCAAACTATGCAAACTATCATTCAGACACTTCAGTTTAATGTTCTTTCATCCAGTACTGAAAACTATTAACTTACTTTTTAAGAAGTGTGGAGAAAGCAAATTTGGGTTTCTGGGGAGATGGTATAGTCTGTTTTAAGTGTTCAGAGCTAGGACTGAGAAAGGCATAGATTGCTTCACTTTTGTTAAGAGTATCGTCTTCTAACACAAACTGAAAATGAAAAGAAATTTACACGTAATAGTTACTTTTTTAATTGAAGAATATATTTTATTGTGATCACTTTTAGTATTTATAAATATTTCTATGCATTCAAACCTGCAAATATTTTTGGATCTGCCCTTTTGCTTTCTCCAAAGCTTTCTCCAGAGCTGACTTGCCAAAACGGAATTTGAGAGACTGTGAAGGAAGTTCTAAATGCTTCACACTAGAACTCAACTGACTGTGAACATGATCCAATACAAAATACACATGTTTACATTTAATATATACCCATTTATGAATAGGTACATGCCACTTAAAAGAAAAGCGACAAAACACATACACTTCTCTGGTGTTACCTAACCTAAGGAAGTGGGGACAGGGATTGGCCTGGATGGGAGGTGGAGATGACACTTTACATACCCTCCCCAGGTGCCACTGGACCTTGTTAATCCACTGTTGTTCAATACTCTATAATAGTACTGACACTTTTGAAATCCTTGCAATAATTAATATTTAAATTGTTGCATTTCCTTCACATGTTGCAATGCCCAAATTCTGCATTTCACAAGACAAGAATATGGAACTAAGACAAGAACATGTCACAATACACTCAGATTTTTGTTTTTTAGTTATTCCTGAACATTATAATCAAGTGTAGAGTGTAAATAAAACATCATACTTTAAGACAGGACAATTCTACAACTTGATTATACAGATCAGCAATGTCTTTAAGGTTATGAAAATCTCTCAGGATATTCTTATCTCCTCACAATTCTAAATTCTCTTTAAAATATTTTCACCATTGTAATATTATTAAATATTATAATAATTATAATATTATTAATATGAATATTATTGTAATATTTCTCTCATACCGAGGTTCAGTACTATATTACTGTAATATCTTTCTTCAATGTATTTAAGAGAATTGCTGATGAATGGATTTCTCTCCTACAGAAGCAGTTTACAATACATATTTATCACAGACCTATATTCCCAATAGTTTCATAAACATTTTTATCACATATTTTTATTTTTTTACACCTCTATATTTACATTCATTTGAAAAACATTGTACACATGCAATGACAGTCACCAGTTTGCAACTCTCTGTTCACTGTAAAGCATAACTAAATACTTAAATATAAAAAGAAGATTTAACTTATTGGCCCACAGGCCTATGACACTGCGATGGCATTCACATTGGATATACTGTATGGTGCTCGAGCTAATTCACAGCTTTCGTGAATAAAATGTATAAATCTAAAAACTGTAAAAGCACCAATGTATATTACTATATATTATTATTATTATTATTATTATTATTATTATTATTATTATTATTATTAACTTACCTAAGTTTACGATGTAGTTCTTGAAATTCTGATAGTCTCCTTAATACTACCCATCCAGTTGAAACTGCATCTGAGTCAGATTCATCTTCTAATACATGGACCACTAAAACAAACTGCAAGCTCTCCTTTTCTTCTGACATCTGAGTGCAATATTATAAATATTGTTATAATATATAACATGAAAAAACAAATAGCAGTGTGGTTTTCTCTTAATTACATCATGTTCTGAAGAAAAAAATTAATATCCGTTATATAGTTCCACATACAGAGCAAAAATAGAATCACCTCTGCAGACTGAACTACAGCTCTCCAGCGTCCAAGATGTTCTGACCAAGCTTCTGTGCGCATTAAGTGAGCTTCAAGTTGCCGTTTCTCTCCTTGAAGAGTTTCCACATCACTTTCTAAACGAGATAATACGCTATGATCTGGTTTCATATTGCAGCGTAGAGCTTCTAATGCCTACATAAAAATTATGAACTTCTTTTAACATAACCTCCTCCAGAAGCAATATTTTGTAAATTTAATTCTGAATTGAAATTATCACAGTAATCAACTTACTCAAAAAGGTCATATTATGAAAAATGTAAATATTATAATATTGAAATATATAAATTAAAAAATATAATAATCAATTATAATATATAATAATAATTATTAATAAATAATTAATGTAAATACAATTATATAATAATGAAATATATATATATATATATATATATATATATATATATGTTAAGAAATATGTTTAGAAATATGTACGTAATTATGAAAAATGTAAATATTTCATAATTATGTTATGTATTGTGTAAGAAAATTTTTCAAAAAAAAATTACACAAAAATTGCAATACTTACTTGTGTTTTATCATCGAGTCTTTTCTGAATTTCATCAAGTTTTCTATGAGCATAACTTGATTCTCCAACTACATTAGTGTTGCTTAAAGGATCATCTGATTCCTGTAAACATGCTGGGGAAAAAAAAAAGAGAGAAAATATCTTGATAATTCTTTGTTCTACACAGAATTTCGTTACAGAGAATGGAATTTAATGGAAAAACAATGCAAATACTTTTCATATGTATTTATTTTTTTTTAAAACGTGTAAGAAAAAAATACAAGAGAGTATGTAAAATACAAATCATCATGAGAGTTTAATATTTTTCTCTGGAAGCTTTTTCAGGTTTTTGAACATAAACTGTTGCAAATTGGACCTTGAAATGGATTTGTAGCAGCTGAACGAATGTTTTATATCTACAGAAGTAATTGGAAACTAGTTTGCACCACACAATTTTATACAAAATAGAAAAAGCATACATATGTTACGGCATACATGCCTATACAAAATACATACATACATACCATATACATGTTACTGCTAATGTCAGAACTTGGCTGTAGTCAAATTATTAGCACATTAGCCAATATGAAGTGGTTAAGGTAGGTGAAGTATGTTAGATATTTTTTCACAAAAAGGAATCAAATTCTTGGTGGAAAGTTGATAAGGTTAGTGAGAGACAAGGTTTGTAATTTTAAGTTACACTATCAGTCATACATTTCCATTTACTTGATACTACCAAACCCATATTCACTGTATACCTCAGTTGACGCATTTCTACAAATATCTGAATTGGATCAAAGAGACTGATGTTTGCCATTTTCACGAAACAATCTTCAACCTTTCCTGAGTGAGGTTGCTGGACTACCAGCGAGCACCTCCCCAGATGGCAGATAGGGGGATGCGCCTGGCCATAACCCTCTCTTCTCTCCAAAAACTACTACCTTGCAGAAGATGATGGATCATTAAAAGTTAGAGGAAAGGTCCTTCAAGTTGGGTTTGAGAAGTTGAGCCTGGGCCTCAGAAAATGATTAAATATGCACGAGTCCCAAGCAATAAGCCTAGGAACCACGGAAGTTCGACAGCGACGATTTGGCCTTCAAAATAGGTATATGAATTTTGTAATATGGAATGTCAAGGCATAGCCACAAAAGAATTCGAAGTGTTTAAAGAATTAAACAGATTAAATTTAGATGTTGCTGCCCTATCTGAAACTAAAAAGAAAGGGAAGGGTTTGGAAGATATTCATAATTACGTGCACATGTACCGTGGAGTAAATGAAGAAAACACAGCAAAGAAAGGAGTATCCATTGCCATACGCAAATCTTTAAAACATCTCATAAAAAATGGGATGGTATTAATGAAAACCTACTTTGAGTTGATCTACGTCTAAAGGGGTATGATATGGTTGTAATTGCCTCCTATGTGCCCACAGACAGTGCAACTGATAACAAAAAAAATATAATGTTTTACCAATTTGATGAACCTTCTGGAGCAGGCATTTGGAAACAGAAAATAAATAAATATATATCCTGGACCTAGTGAGATAAATATGGACCTAATAAAATCAGCTCCATCAGTATTGTTTGAACAGCTTGCGGAATTATTTAATGCATGCCTCAGAGGTCATGGGATACTAAAAGCCTTTAAAGTGGTTGATATATCCAATATATTTAAAAAAGAAGATAAGGAAGAATGCTCCAATTACCATGGCATAACCGGTAAAGTGGTTTATATCTCCAATATATTTAAAAAAGAAGATAAGGAAGTACGCTCCAATTACCTTGGTAAAACCGTCCTCAGTTCCCTTGGTAAAATATATGGTAAAATTATTAAAAACAGATTGGAAAATGAAATAAACAAATTGGAAGAACAGAGTAGCTTTCAAGCAGGTATATCCTGCACAGATAATATATTTACCATCTGACAAGATATGAGTAAGCGACTGGCGCATAACCTTGAGAAACATCAAGTCTATGTTGACTTGCAAAAAGCGTACAACAGTGTCGCCCCTTTGAAAATTGTGGATGGCCATGGGAAATCAATATATTAGTAGCATATTTATTAAGGCCATTAGAGAGTTATATTCAGACAATATTGCTTATGTCAAGTTAGGAAATAGCATATCAAAAGATATAAAGGTAAGTAAAGGGCTAACTCAGGGGTGTTGCATAGCACCAACCCTGTTCAAAATCTATCTAGGAGAAGATCTAAAAAACTGGAAGAAAGAATGTGAAAGGATGGGAATAAAATTAAATGACGATATGTTACATTCACTAAATTTTGCAGATGACTAAGTGATATTTGCAGAGGATGAAGACAATACACATTATATGTTCAGGAAATTAAATAAGGAATATGAAAAATGGAGATTGAAAATTAATTTCCAAAAGTCAGAGTACATGGTGGTAGGAGGGACAGGAAAATATTTACTAATGGAAAATGGCTCAGTAAAGTGTTGTCAGATATTGAAGTATTTAGGACCAGTTTTAACAGACCAAGGGGGAAGTGAGGAAATTAATCATCACATCAGGCAAGGAAGATCTGCTATTTGGCAAATTACATTGAATAATATGGAATAAAAATATTGCTAATAAAATGAAAATTAGAATTTATAAAGCAATTATGGAAAGTACATCACTGTATGGTGTTGAGTTATGGGAGATCTCAAGGAGGCTATGGAAATGCGCGTTTTGGAGACGCAGCTGTATTGAAACGTTAATGGAAAGAATCAGAAATGGAAATATAAAGCAGGAAATAGGTGTCATTTCAGAAATAATTGATACAATAGAAGGGAGAAAGTTAAACTGGTATGAGCATCTTAGAAGAATGCCAGAGGAAAGGTGGCCATTAAAAACTTGGAGGTGGTAGGTGCCAATACACAGAAAGAGAGGTAGTCCAAGACTTACATGGTATGATGGTGTGTGACAGACAATGAAACATCATCAAAGAAGATAATTGGCAAGATAGAAGAAGATGGAAGCTTGGGTGCGAGAGACACTGTATGGTATAGTTCCACTCGCAGGAGAAGACCTTCAGTTTGTGCAATACATTATTTCTAATAAATTTGTATGCCAAAAATCTTTCAAACACACAGATGCCTCGCCCTCAGAGGAAAATTCCCCAGCAAATGGGCAAATTCACCAACTAAACCCAACATGTAATTGTAATATTGAACTTAATTTATTGGAAAAAAGTACTACACATTGATCACATTACTTTTCAAAAGAATATTCCCATGATAAGAGTCATGAATGGGCTTAAAGCTCTGGGAGGCATAATCACACACATGCTTGCTATTTTTGCTCATTCGTAAACATTGGCTCATCCTTGATTCTGAATCTGAAACTTCGTACAATCATAGGACAATTTACAGCAAAGGTCTGGAGAACATAGAAAATGGTTTCGTTTTTTGAAACAGAAAGGTGTTTTAGGTACATACATATAATATTATAAAATTGCTATCACATTTACTCACTGTATACCTACTTTAAAAAAAAAAAATATATATATATATATTATATAATATATATATAAAAAAAAAATTATTATATTATTATTATTATTATTATTATTATATATTATTATTAAACAATTTTTTACAACAGTGGATTAGTGTTTTACAAGAGCATATTTGACATTTAATTATATAATAGCTAACTTGGCATTAACCTTAATAAGAGGAAGGTCACTCTCTCTGGAGTCCTCAATTTCAATTTTTGAATTATGTAATTGGAGTGATTTCGAGGAATGGTAGAGGGATATGAATTAATGCTATAGGTTAGATAGGTTAGAATAGGAAATGGGTTATTAAGGTGATAAAGATAAAGAAGATATGTGGAGAGTAGAGCTATTATTTTAAGCAAATCTGATCTTTTACACAAATCTAATATAAAATGAGAATACAGTAATTCACATTAATAAAAAAAAATTAAAATGATAATGTTAATAATAATAATAATAATAATAATAATAATTATTATTATTATTATAAGAATGATAATAATAAAAAAACACACACACTTTTTTCATTACAAAAGGAAGGCTAATGGAATGGCTAAACTTTCAAGTGAACTAATAATGAACTGACCTTCCTCAGCAGGTTCGGCATCAGCTATTTGTTCTAAAGCAGCTTCCATGCGCTGATAAGTATCACTAACTAGAAAGGTAGGGTAGATCTTCTCCTCAAGGACGTGAGTTACATCCTTCTGGACATCGTAGAATACTTCTGGTCCTTGATTTCCCAGCAGAAACTGCTCCATCCGCTTCAGCACAGGCTGCCCACAAGCAAACATTTCTGAGAAAGCAGAAAACTTTTCTAGTAGAAATAAAGAGTAATCGTTATGATCTGTGCAACTTGTGCTTCGGTGCTCCATTAGCGACTTGATCTATTGGTGCAACTTTGTTCTAAATGTGCCTATGTGTCTCTGTTACCTATAATTTGAACATTAAAAATACATAAGTAATGCATACCTTTTCTACAGAAATTGCTGGTGAGGGATTATTAATGTATTTATAAAAAATATCTGTAGCTAGCTGATGCCAGTCACAGCGGTTCGCTTGTTTCAATTCCTCAACTGCTTCCCAACATTTCAGTAGTAATTTATCACCTGCCTGATCCAGAAATTCAGCCAAAAACTGCCTACATAGAGGATTTTCAAGCAGAGTGTCTAACTGTAAAATCTGCAGTAAAACAAACCCACGAAAACAAAATACTATTAGTGTAAGAATAAAAGGATCTAAACACAAGTTATTTGAAATAATTATAAATGGGATGTAGGAAAAGATTAACAAGGAGTAGATTAGATTTTAAAAGGTTAATTTTCTGATGAATGCAGAGCAAACCTTCTGCACCGAACTTCTCCCCACATTTTTATTCTACCTTTCAATTTTGAAATATCATAATAAAATATATCTCTAACTTTTGTTTAAGTACAGAAACAAATGACTTAACAATATTCGATTTTAATTTTTCCCTCAAAAGTCTGTGCACTCTGGGAACACTATTTTCTAACCTAATAATTTCCAAAAAATTGAACTATGCACAATTTCCCAAACTTCAATGTTTTTAGTGTAAGTCACATAGTAAGTGGAAAGAAAAGAGAAAAAGAGAGGAACTCAAGATAACTTGATATTTTTTTATTATTACAATTTTACGGATAACTATAATAATTATGAGTAATGTCAAAATGAAATCATATGTCATTGGATTAAATGTAAATTTTCATTAAACCATGCTATAATTATCATGTCCTACAAAATTTTATCAAGTCTTAGGGTAGTTTTTAAAATAATTGGAAAATATGTTTCCCCTGAGCAATTACATATCAATAAAATTTGATATTTTTGGAAAATTGAAGATCAATTAAAAACATGGTTCAAAATTTCTAGACAAGGAATTAGCCCTGCTTAACTTAAAGAAGAACATGAAAAAAAATTGAGCATCAATAACTTCTTTATTTAATACTTTAATAATAAGGATCTAATTGTAAACAATATTCACATGGTAACTCTCCTATTACAGTATTAGGTTCCTTCAATTAGCAATTTTAAAAATGTGCCAAAAGTGGTGAAACTCACATATAAACATGTGATTCATCAATCTTTTTCAAGCCTTTAACAATCATAACCACATTGATGAATAATCCACAAGTACACACAAGTCAAAAAATTCATTGTCTCAGTTCTGTTAGAAATTAATGAAGTATGAAATGGAACAACAACGAATGTGTTTTACTTATAATTAAATTATTTCTTTCATTACAATGCTAACAAAATACATGTTTCTCGTAGGGTACATTTTAGTAGTGCACTTTAAAGAAATTCTTCAACAGACCAAGACTCAATGACTGAAAATATGGGACATCCCATCAGAAGACGAATTTCATGAAAACTGACTGAAAATGGATATAGCCCTTAATATCCTTTCAAAGAGATGAACCAACAATATAAGGCTATATATAAGAGAAGTTGAATCAAATTTTTTGTTATTGTTTACTGCAGGTATTTTTATGATAGACTTTTATTCAATTTTTACAACAATTAACTTACCTTTCTACCAGATAATGCAGTGGCTTCCATTGCCTCCTCCACTCCGCAGCTTGCACATCCCAATGCTGCCAACTGTTTCTCACACTGGCTTTTTGCATATGTTAACTGATGAATGTAACGCTGGACCTGCCGCCCCTTAAAAAAGGAAAAGAAAAGAGAGGAGGAGAGATGAAGAATAAAAATTATTTTTCAAATTATATTCAAACACAAACCATAAATATTTCTGTCATGAGGGATACCTGAAGGAAATCTCCTCTTGCAATTCCATGACCAAATACTTCTTTATTAGCAGATACTGTTTTTGATTTCTTTTTAGAATGAATGGTTGAAGCATGAGTTATTTCATTCATAATACTACTTCTGTAATAGACGGAAGTAATAATTATTCAATTTATTTTCAGCTATTGTATATAGTTGCAATATCTTTTTCAGTTATTTTTTAAACTAATAAACTAGATTTATAATATGATACGCTATCAAGCAACTTGCAATTAACTCTGCAAATTCTAATTTAATTATTAAATTATTTAATATATTAAGTTTTCATTTCATTTCTAAACATCACACCATATCACACTACTATAATGTTTACTTCTGAAAGTACAAGTTCATTGGAAGGAGATTCATAGTGAGCCATGAACAATGATAACAAAACTAAAACAATAGGGAATATAGTGAAAGGTATGAACACATTAACTAGAAACTTTGTTGAGAATGTTATTTTAAAAGATAGCTCTCTGGACTTGTACAATCATTCCAACCTTTGTAAAAAACAGAACAACAATTGCATGTGCCACTGAAAACAAACTGTGTTTAATTAATTTATGTTTAGTTATCAAATTTTGAAGTCTCCCAAAAAATCTTCCAATGAAATGTGTCTATAACTGAATTGAACACAAAATAAGTTCAGTATGTTACACATTCAGAATTCTTCCAAATTCAGTCAGCCTTCATTGACTTTGTTATGTGAATTTTGCATATGTACATTCCTTCCTGAAATATGTCATAATGTTCTAGGAAGACACATCCTATCATATGTTGCCTTCTAAATTTCAGCAAAAAGTACAAATAACAAGAAAATGTCATCCATATGATTCCTACAAACCATACTTTCTTGAGTTTGGAGTACTACCACTTTGTTACCTTTTCATTTAGAAAATGAGTTTTAAAGCAAAACTCACATTTTATACTCTGCATGGGATATTACCCCACACTAATCTTGTTCTACCAGGGGGATTGCTCCCCTTAGTGGGCAACTAGGATTTGCACATTTATCCACACCCCCTTCTGGTCACAAATGCACCGTAAAGTTGGAATCTAGATTCTACCGGAACAGAGAACCTATCATGGACTCTCGCCAATTAGGCTGAATATATTTCTATTAATTTATTTATTTTTATAAAATTGTAAAAACAATGTATTAAGAAAAGTAACGTCACATAAAAATAATTAATTTTTTCTCTCTTTTACAATTTTATGAAAAACAAATACGATATTTGGAATTATTCTTAATAATATAATTTATATGCTCATCCCATTTCACATTATAATAAAATATGTCCCTAGAATATTTACAAATTTACACTATATACATAAGTCACTAGTCCTTAATTTTTTATTGAAACATTTCTCAGTACATTAACCCCATAGTTCCTGAAAGGAACGCCAATGGTTTTGCCCGTATTCAAAGAATATTTATTGTTTTAGCTAAATGGCAATTTTTTGAAAATATTTGTTCATTTTCACTACTGTTTGACCCAAGTTTTTTGTAGGTATTACTGCTGTAACATTAGCTTAAGATACAACTGCAATGTCTGTCATCCATTAATAGGCCACTTACATCCATTGTGAACAATAAAAGGCTTAGTACAGTGCCTTATAGCACACTTATATTTATATCTTTACAGCTACTAAAAGTATTACTTTAATTTTTTGTCTTCTTTTTGTGAGGTAACTTTTCATCAATTTTTGAGCCATCCCTCTAATACCTTAACTCTAATTTTTCGATTTTGTGATTAATAGTATCAACAACCTTTGCCCGATCAAGGTTATTTCCAATTACAAATTTTTGTCTAGGCTATTGAAAATTTTGCTAGGTATTAATTTTAGTGTATCTTTAGTTCCAGTCTTTTTCACTATCCCACAATGATATATAGACGTTATATTGTTTTGTCCAATAAAGTTGTACAATGTACTTCATTTATATTTATAGCATTTTGGTATTTATGTTATTCTTTTATGTCCTTCATGCCATTATATTTTGTATTTTTAATTCTTTAATTTATTTTATTAATATGTAAGAGATGATTTGATACTGTCATTAGTTGTTTGTATTTTTTAACTTAATTTCTTACCCAACATAAACAAAACAAAACAAAAACAACAAACATTCATGGGGTCTACCATTTCGGAAGGATTTTCAATTTTGTTTTCACTACCACTAAAGATATAGTCTAAATTATTTTTTTCTTGTTCCTTTTTACCATAGTTTCTCATTTACAATTTTCCACCGAGTTTTTGGATCATTACTATTTGTTCCAATCGGTTCTTTTTTTACTTTACCTCTACATCTTTTGATGATGTTATGCAGGGTTTTATCATTTTATTTAGAATCTTTTAATCGATTTTTTATTAGATCTAATTCCTGTACATTGTAATGATATTCCTTTATAATTATGATGGCTTTAGTGATTCACTTTTTCATAGAATATTCTGTAAATCTGAAAATATCAATTTTTTAAATAGATAAAACAAAGTATTTTTCCATCCTATTTCCATTTTAATTATAATACTTAAATGAGTTATATTTTATTGTATATACAACTAATACCTCAATAATAATGTCTATTGAATGTAAAGAAGGAAATAAAAAATATCGTGTTTAGGAATTTTTCCATTTATTCATATTCATTCATAAACCATTGAATAAATCACCATGGATCTAATTTAAAACAGTATATAAAGTATGTTCTTCATAGCTTATAGTACATAAAGTATGTTCTTGATAGCTGTTTTAAATTAGAATGTTCAGCGTTAAATTACTCCGTCATATTAATTTCTAAACAATATTCTATGTATACAAGGTTCAATACACAGTTTAGCAATATTATCACATACAAAATCATTGAGAAGTTAACATAAGCATAATTATTAAAAAACTGTGAAACATAATAAAGCGTTGGAAGATTTGTTTGAACGTGAACATTTTTCTTGTCAGCTGAGCATTGGCAACAGTGATAGATGACTGTGGCTGTTGGGTTTTTATATGGTGGTGACATGGGATTGTGTTATCTCCAAGTGCAACAGTCTTTTCATGCAATTTAAAAAACATGGGGATAATCCCTTTCCTAAGAATATATTTAAAATATCCTGACTCAGAATGTTTAGTTCTATGAGGTCAAAATTAAAATCCTCTACTATAAAACTTCTATGGACTTTTTCATTATCAAGAAATGTTTTCAAATTCACGATGAATTTAGTCTTAGATATATAATCATATTACACATTAGGTTTCTTTTGTATCAAAAAAATTTAAAAGGTTTAAAATGTTATTTTATCAGCACAACTATAAAATCAAATCTCAGCTTATTTGCCAATGCAAATAATTGTCTATTACAGATGAGAGAAAATGTGTAGTTTCTAAATAATGCCCACCAAATTTGTTAGTTTATTTATTCATAATTCAACTAGTATGTACACTAGTATAAGTGAGCGACAAGGATTCTGGAGGTCAAGAACCATGCTTACATTGTACATTATAGACGTATACTTCTCTCGAGAATGTCACATTGAAGATAAATAAAATAAAAGTTCATGCTAAAGACATGAACATGGGCATGCACTTGCATGTGCATGTACATACACACCCACCTCATAAGCTCTGAGGATGTCTTAGGACGGTTTTTAATAAGAGGAGTAGAAGTACTACTAGTACTAGTAATAGTAATAATAATAATAATAATAATAATAATAATAATAATAATAACAACAACAATAATAATAATTAGGAGTTTGATTTTAATGAAATGTTATTTTTTCTTTTCTACTAAAGGAAATAAACCATTTTTATAGGTCTTTTTTTTTTTCTTTTCTTTTTTTTCATTTTTGGTTGATTTTGACTAGTAAGACATTTTTTACCTTCTATGTCAAACAATATTTATGAGCTGCAACTAATGTTCACCACATATTTCCTGAGCAGCCTATTCCATTTCTTTGCTCACATATTGTAATATCAGCAGGTGTGAGAACTACGTAATCTAAGGTTTCTGCGACACCTATCAGTGCCATTGATAGTTCGGCCAATTTTGTGATAATTAGACTGAGATTTTCTTTTAAAGAACAGTCCAAACCAAAAGTATGCGAGCTGAATTCACTTGAACAAAAGGAAGAAGCCTTGATAATATTAGTAACATATCCAACAGCTTGAATTCTCCATTCGAAGTGGTTTGATCAACTTTTTTAACGTTATTTTTCTTTGTTTTTAGGGCATTTTTAAAGCAGTTTAAGAGTATTTTATTGATCATTTTTGGCAATGTTTTAGGTCATAAAAGTCTGCCCACTAGAATAATAATAATAATAATAACAATAACAACAACAACAACAAGCGCTAAGTGGTTCAGTGTGTAGCGCATTGACTCGCAGTCAGGAAGTCCAGGTTCAACCCCCGGGCCAGCCTTCCTGACAGGAGTTTTTGTGGTATACCCTCGGTCACACAGGCATATGCTGGGATGGTTCAAAAAGCCCACCATCACCTCTCATCATCCTATCACCTCAATTTATAATTCAAGGCCAAACAACCTTGCCTTATAAAGGGATACAGCTGAAAAGCTGATCCCTGTAATTACACACGTTAATTTCTCTCCAGGATATAATATGACTGGGCCTCATAAGAGAATGTGTAGCATGGTCAGAAATGGCATATACGCAATAATAATAACAATAATAAAAAAATATTATTACTATTTTTATTCTCCATCCCACAATGTACGATCATAGCTTGGAACTATTTAGTGAAAATAAAATGAACAATTTTGCTTTCCAATCCTTCCTTTTCAATTTGATTCTGGATGAGAGGAGGAGAAATCCATTTTCATCAGACCTTCATTTACAAGCAGTCATGGTGTCAATGTTACCAACACTAGATCACATCATCTCCCTGTGAATTGTTTTTTCATTCACAGCTTGCTGAGATATTAAGTTTCTTTCAGAGTTCTCCTTCTTATAGTTTAAGTTGGTTGGTAACAGCCAACAGTTTTATGTTCTCCTTCTTATATTCAAATGATTGAGTCATCTGGCAAAGTGTAAACTGAATACGCTTTACTCCTAATCTGCTATGCTCCTCATGGATTTTCTTAGCTGTAACAACACTGACCCCAACTAGCCTGCCTTAATAAGACATTGCAGTTTTGAACTTTTATTGCCACATGTATTTATAGTTGCAATTTCAATGAAAAAAAGTGTGGTCATTAAAATAATACACTCCTTGTAGTCCAACAATTCAGGTTTCAGTTGCAAAACTTTTTGAATGCTCTTCATGCAAGGTTTTATGACAAGCCAGACTTAAGTTCTATCAAGTGCTGGAAAAGTGTTACAATATAAAATTCATTAGATGAATTTACTCAATAACATACAACATTTCATCAAGTATGCTTCAGAAAAATTTCCATCAGAAAGTAATATTTTCTTTTCTCTCTACCTGGCCAAAAAAGTTTTGAATTACTTTATTTGATGTTACCTTATCTGATTAAGTACTTCTATGTCTTTAGAATCCTTTATCATTTGTATGAAATCTTCAAAGCTAGCAGCATAAGTATAGGATCTTCGTCTCTGGGGTGAACTGTTTTCAGGCTGATGAACATATAATAAAATTTTCTGATTTATGTAATCAGGATCTGTTAGAGTTTCTATTGCAGGGAATATAACTGAAAAGAGAAAATTGATAAATCCTTTTTAATGCTTTTCTTATATGTGTTATAATAAAACTATTATTGTTGCTTCTTAAAAATAATTGTTTATTAGATACATATATCAATACAAGAAAAGCATTTAATGAATCATAAAAATAAAAAACCTCACCCTTTAGAAGAATATATAACTAAGTCACATAAAAGTAATAAAATGTGAGATTTGACAAATAAAATGGCATTTAACTAGAACTATCATTTCATATTTATTGCTTCTCAGCAATCATTTCTTAAATCTGTCATTCTTTGCATTATCATTAGTGTATATTTGGTGTTGCCATTCATGCTTGGAGTCACTGTGTGTTTGTTGAATCACAATTGGGATAGTATGGCCATATAATCTCCATGGTTGCTCAGCAATTCAAAATTATCTGTGCTTCGTGATTTCCATATGCTATTTATATGTATTGGTTATTATTGTATTGTTTTATAATGTATCATGTTAGTATTTGAGTTTCATGATGAATATACATTACTTCATTGAAAAAATGAAGTTAATGGTGGACAACACACATAATATACAATTACAGAAGAATGCACATTTAAAGGTGCAGTCAAGATAATATTTTAGCAATTCAACTGTCCGAAATAAAACAAATTACAGGCTGTGAAACTTCTAATGCAATACGGTCTAAACTAGAAGAAATTTGTCAGTCAAAGGACCCATGTGAAAAGCTGCACTATTGAGCTAGCTCATAATATCGAAGGTGCAAGATGGGGATGAACTAGAGCTCATGAGTACACAAGATAATTTTTGCACTTTCTAGATCAGTGATTTAACCTTGCTGCATGCGACCTTTTTATTTTATTTTGTTGGCTGTTTTACTGGATAGAAAATATTAATTATACTGGGGGAAAAAATCTTACACCTTTCTTATTGCTTTGTCTAGTCAGTTATATGAAATTCCTTTTTTTTTCCTTTAATGTCTCTGGCCCACACTTTCCTACATAAACTAAAATTTGGTTGGCTTTCATATTACTAAATATTTAACCACCTGTTGCACAAAAATTGACAGAAATGATGGTTTCTATTAACAGTTGTGTTATTAGGCCGACCTCAAGAAGCTTTGAAAACTTCAGCTGCACCATGAATTCCAATGATATATTTCCTTCTCCCACAATATTAAGAATTAAAATTGGAGTAGAACAACTGAATATGTTAACAAAGATTTTGATGAAATTCTCAAGAAATATGGAATTTCATGAAAACTAACTTCTGTATGTAATCCAGAGCAAAATGGAATCACACAATTAAGAAATCAAACACCGATGGGTAATGCTAATGTTTATTAATAATACGAGGGTTGCCTTCATATTTATGAGTGGAAACCATTGATTCCACCAATTACATACAAAATAGGTATATGACAAAAAGATGAAATGGAAAATCGCTGTATGAAATTCTTTTCAGAAAATCTTCTGAAGCCATTACAGTCCTGAATCTAATAAGATAGTTCAAGAAAAGAGATAACACACTGGTCTGGTAAAACATTTCATAGAAAAATGGCGTGATCATCTAGGTTATATAAATGTCATATCTGTTGCTTCAAATGATTGAAATTAATGTTTTCAATTGAATTTACATTATTTCTAATATATTCTTTCAGATTAGCACAAATTATCTATGTGATTACATGATCACTATGTGATTACAAAGATCTTAAGTAATAAAAATAGTGATACCTAGATAAAGTATTTTTTCTGAATTTTTACACAGTATCAATTTCTCCTGACATTTTATTGTTAGTTTGGTGCATCTTATGTCAACAGAAATGCCAGCTGAGATCCTAACAAAAGGACTGACTAAACCCAAACAAGAATACTGTATTAACCTACAGGGGCTCTCAAGAATATGATGCAGAGATTATCTAGAGGGGAAGAGCTGAATCTTAATTGGATAGTATGGCAATATAATTTCCATGAAGTACACATATGGGTGCTCAGCAATACTATTATCCATTGCTTTGTGACCTTCATATACCGTTTATGCACAGGTTGCTACGAAAGTTTTGAGATATATTGTTTTGCAGTCTATTGTTACCTTCCCAAAAATGTGAATCGATTGCAGTGTCCTTTCTGAGTAACACGTGAAAGTTGGAACTTGCTTGGCTTATCGCTGTTGCAAAGAGGTGTACATTTAGTTTTGTTGACATAGGATTCAGCTGTTGTCACAATGGAGCAGTCAAGAAAACACTTTTGTGCAATGATTTTTAATGACTTTAAAAGTGTTTTAAATGAATCTGAAAATTGTAAAAACAATCGTGTGACATTTAAGGACATTGGAGGGTCCCTACAGATTGAATTGCCGTCAGTTTCCAAAATCCTGCACAAATATCTTTGAGTCAGGATCTCAATGGATGCCTCAAACATTGATAGTCACAGGAGAGCATCTATATGGAATGGTGTCAAGAAATGTTGAAAAGATTTGAAAGCGACAACTATAGGCGTGTTTCTGACGTAGTTACTGGTGACAACATTTGTATTTATCAGTTTGATGCTGAAAGTAAGCGCCAGTCCACTGTATGGATTTTTTCCTGACAAACCTCCACCAACAAAAGTTAAGCAGCCTCAAAGCATAGGAAATGAAATTGTAGCAACATTCTTCTCCAAAAGCGGCCATCACTCAACTGTTCCACTGGAAGAACAAAGAACTCTTATCATGTGTGTGATTATTTTCTGTTCCCTATAGTCAAAAGTCACAAGCGAAGGTGTTGATACCAACAAAAGTGAACTTTTAGGAAAAGGAGTGGAAAAACTGTTTTGTAAACATGTGTAAAATTGTGTTTTATGAGAATGCAAAAATGTACAGAATGTCACGGCGAGTGTTTTGAGAAAATTTTCGAAATTATTTCAAGTTTCTTAGTTTTTGTGTATCTGAAAACCCTCAAATAGATAGTTTGTTTTCCACTGCATCATGATAGTGTACCAGTTACTTGAATAATTATACATTCCCTCATTGAAACCTTGAGGACTTATTTTACTACATCTTTGCTATCAGTATTTAGCATTTTCATCAGTGCTTGCTGTTGTCAATTATGTCGGTATTACATTTGAGGTTATAATGAATCATCAGGCTTTCCAATTTTTAAAATTCAGTAGCACCTCAAACAGACAAGTGGCACCATTGTTAAGAATTAAATACAATCTCTAATCAATTGTCAGAAAGATAAAACATCTACAGTATACGCTTCTGACCATGTTTCTCTCCTTTGAAATGGATACTATCTTATTTACCTTTACATATTAATATTTCCTTTAAAAGATGTCTCACTGGAATAACTTCTAAGTATGGTTTTGGTAGTAAAAGTGTTAATGCTAATTCTGCAATACACTTCAAATAATTTAATTCTGATTCTTCATCTTCCAAATAAGACAGTTTCTCCACTTTGATCTCTTTATTTCTGAGAAACAAAGGAATACATCTTTTAAGTTCAGGAAACAACAATTAAATATTAACAACTTTAATATAATAATTTAATATTTTGTTCAATTTGCATAATATTAATGAAAAAGGTATAACATTAATTTATACGAATTAAGGTTACATCTAAATATTATAATATCTTTTTATACTACTAATAGGGTAAAAAATCTACTTACTTGGAACTACGTGATAATCGTATTCGTTCAAAGTGCAATGTCACTTTTGTTATCATTTTGTGAGCTAATAAGTTCACTAAATCAATTCGTGTCAGACGCTCTTGAAAATTCTGCACCAATTTCCAAACATCTTCCCTGGCAGGAAAGATAAGTATACTTTTTTACATTTTCCAATTAATGTTATCCACTTTTGTACATAAATCTACACTAACATTAAGAAAAAGCAACATAACTTACTTCCTAAATTGTAACTTCTTTTGTACTACAACCAAACCTATTTCTTGAAACATCGATGTCGGATTTTGTTATAAGATTCAAAAAATATTGAAGACACAGAAATTTTCCTCTAAAAATTTTCTACGAGTATACATTGGACTACAGGTAAATTATCAAGCATGAAAAATGATGTAAAAAATAAATACTATGTATATTGAAGAACACAAAATTATTTCACATATTAAAAGCAGGTAGGGTTGGTTGGTGATAGTTACACTATACAGTGCAATATTCTAAATGGAGAGTGGAGAAAACTGAAGTTCTCTGGCAAGCACAAATACTCAATACAAGAATTTTAAAAGAAGTTCATGAATAATGATTCCTCTCTTAATTGTTCCTTATGTAAGGGTACTTCAGAAGACTCTTGGTTCAAATGCCGTGTATTCTATGCCAGTGTCTAATTTGATAATCGAACAGATGGAGAAGGAAGAGAAAAAACAGGAAACAAAACTACTAACTTGCGTACTTATTTAGAACAGAAAAACATACAATCAATAATCCTATAAATCATTTTTGGGATTAATTTTTTTATAATTTCAGACCATGATGTAGTTATTTAATACATTACACTACTTCTAAGCGCTTCTTTATTTTCAAGTCATTTTTTCTACTTAGGACACCAGCCAAATATTGCATGTACAATTTAAAATTAAGGACCAGATAACACAGACATTTTCTATCCAAGATTTGTCAGAAAGTGGGAGTCAAATTCTAGCACTACAAGAAAGAATCGATTGTTTTGAAATTGCAAGCATTCTTAGTGATCCAAACCTGAGATCTTATGTTACACATTTTGTTTATTTACTGTTACAACTGAAGAGAGGCCTTCAAGGTGGTGCCAGTTTGAAAGACCCAATGCCATTCAATGATTCTTCATCCACACTAATTTTATGATTGCAATACAAACATATCTCATCTCAACATAACAATCTTATCTAAAATTATATATATATATATATATATGTATATTATATATATATATATAATATATATATATATATATATATATATATATATATTATAATATATATACACACACACACATATACATATACACATAAAGATGTTTTAGTTTTTGTCAATATTGGAGCTCTTGACATTTAATAATAGTACAAATTTCTTACATTCATATTTTTGTTAATTTTATATTTATAATAAATTGCAAATACTTTACTAAAATCTAACAAATAAATTTATTTTTTATTAATAAAATAATTTATGTCAGTTTTGTTTCTAATGCTTCTGTTTAAGTGTGAAGGGCTAATAAATTTTGACTATTTTGCAGCATTATAGCTCTCAAAAAAAGGTTTCAAATGACATATTGCTGAATAAGATCTATTCATTTCCATTCTGTATGTATCTTGCCAATAAAAAAATAATACCTTTTTTATTCGTCATTATTTTTAATTATTATACATTGACACTTCCCTTACAGAAATTGTCAGCCCTGGGTGGGTGTAAGCTAAAAGACAAGGTAACAATATTATATTATTTACAAAAAAGAATGAAGGGAAAGAAGATGAATGGAATAAATTAATTAAATGTATAAATATTAATTGCAAGTTATTATGATGCCCAGGAACTGCAGGAAGGTTAACATAAAAATAAAAAAAATTAAGTATGTCTGCATGAGAATATCCGAAGGAAAAAACATACATATATGGAAAGTCTAAAATGGTTAGAAGAAACACAAGCAGCAGAGGAAAAATATGTCCTAAAGAGGAATATGACACTAACCACACTCACTTCATTGTAAGCAGGATTTCTTCAGAACTAAGACCATTGTCATTTAACCAATCTCCTATTGCCTCCTGTAATGTTAAGTCAATTAACTGCTGCACAGCATCATCTAACATGCGTCCAAATACAACCGGCAATCGTTTGGGTTTGCTGGGTTTTGGCTCCAATTCCTGAGGACATAAAAAAATCTTACATTTGGCAAAATGAATCTATAATCATTATTACCTAAAATGCCATTAAAGGAACTCTTTGTACATAATGAGAGAAGCTCTAACCATGATATTTTATAAGTCCAATTGAATTTTATCGGAAATGAAGATTCTCAACTATGACATCTCATAAGATTTCAAACTTGGACTAATTTCCTTATCTGGCCATCTTAATTTTGCTGAACTAAATGAATAATTGACATGAATAAAGAGTAAAATAATTCTGAGAATCTTAGTAGAAGGGAATCTTCAATCCCTGAACAGAACATGAACGTGTTCTGTTCAGGGATTTCAAGTATAAAAATGAATATATAAAGCTGATGTTGCTGAAATGCAACAAAAGTTAAAAATAAATTCCATGTTTGGCCTGTAGTTGGCTTTATTTTGATACTTTTGACACCTTCCTCGGAGCTGGTATAAATTTTGGATTCAGATTTCATGTTGGCATGTTTGTTAAAAGATGAAGTTCCTATAAAAAATTAATTTGCTCACCAAAAAATCCAAAATATTTCTTTTAATGATACACCTGGGTAATGAAAATATGGTGGGAAGAATCTTGTGATCACTTTACAATTCCTTTAATGATTGAAGGTCCTTATTAAGAATTTTTTTTATCATCTTTCAGGAATACAATGTAACATTTCAATACAAGATGTTTCATTTTTTGGATAAAAGTCTCATTGATCTTTCTTATTAACAAACCAGCTAGGAAAACCGTATAAAAAAAAACAAAAGTTTCTTAGTAAAAAAAACAACCTGAGACTGCTGTATTTGAAGAAGAAAAAATGTATGTAATCAGCGAGTTTCCTTCAAATCATAGGAAAATATACCTACTTTTTTAAGTTTTGCTCGATTTTTTTTACGCACAGAGAATAATCTTAGGTTACTTAATAACTTACTGTTAGATACTTCCTCATAACCTCCAAATTTGGGGGAGGCCTTCCTGTGGAAGCTTGCCTGCGAGTGTTGGAAGCTTCTTTGATATGTGAAGCAATAAAAATATTGATTCCAGCTAACAAAGCCAACAGCATTAACACAGTAAACAAAAACAAAAATAGCCATTCAGGACGAAATGCCACAGCCAGCAGCAACACGGCCAGTGACGGGAGCAAGTACATATACCGCATACTGCCGTATTTTATGTAAAAAAATAAGCCTGGATAAAATACTGCAAGTCGGAATTCGGCAAGGTCGACTGAAACGCCATTCCTCACTGCGTAGGCTTACAAGCCGTCAGCAGCTACTTTTTGCAGATTTGTCATTTTCATTTGCCAACAAAAAAAATCAAGGGCGTTCATACGGAGAAACGTCAAAAGCCACAAACGTCACGTCACATCACATCACAAACGACGCATAAATATGCTTTAAACAAACATAACAGAAAACAGTACTCCACTATTTTCGCATTTTATCACACCTGTACCAAACCCACCAGCACTCATATGGCACACTCCAAACCTTCGCGATTCTATACACTTGCCCTATCGACCACCCCTTTTGCTATTCCCGCTTTACCCCGCAGATCGGAAGCGTCGCCGTTCCGCTGCCCCCACCTCTAACCGAGTTCGTTGACAGGTCACTCGACCACCGAACGAGCCATCGAAATTGATCGAAATTAGTCCATTTGCTCGTCATTGATGATGTAATGTAGGATAGACACGGAGATTGATTTTTATCACTAGTTATTTTATTTCTCATGTAAAGTTATGAAGTGTTGGAGTAGAAATACACCAACGACCATTGCGCTGCTGCTTGGGTGGGCACCTGCGAAACAGCCTACACTCTGTGTAATACACAGTAGATTTATAGAGGCAGTTTTGAAAGCCGGTTGACAGCAGTGTTAAGATTTTGATCATTGTTAAATATCGTTGAATTGTGTATTGAATTTGATTTCTGTAATCTGCGAGAAAATTCAAATAAACTGTTCAGGAACAGAATAAATGTCATTTTGACGATACGAAACAAATATTTTGTTTAGATCGAAGGAGCAGCCCAGTCCAATAATATATTTAGTATATATTCGTATGCGAGTCGTATTACAATTTCCTGTTAAGTATCAAATACAGAAATATACATTATGCGAATCACGTTTGTATATCAAGCGAAAGTCCAAAATCGTGTCACGTTTGATTTGTAAGTTTAGGTTGTGTCATCAATATAGCTGCTTGTGCATTTGAGAGAAGTCCTAATTTATATTCTGACTGTATAATTACAAGAACCTGGAGATGAAATAGTTGGGTTGTGTGAAAAAATGTAATTATTTAACGAAGTACAGCTGAGCTGTGAAGGTAAGTTGTTATTTGACCCGCTTGTGCAAGCATCTTGTAATGCTTGTTTACTACATCATTTAACTTTTCGCAGAAATGAGTGTCAATTCGAATCTTTTTCACTTTGATTTTAAAATTTTATGAACTTGTCTGACTATTTTTATAAATATGAGTTACACATTTGTTTATTCACTTTTTAATTATTTACAGAATCAATAGAGATGCTTGTGGAAGAAAGTACATCAAATCAGCTCCCTGTTGCTTTGGAAGAATTGATCTTATCTCTTAAACAAAACAGTACATGTGCTGTACGTGATTTGAATAAGCATGATCTAATTGTATGTGTTCTTTGTGCTTTGATGAAAGAGTGTGATCTACAGCCTCTTCTCATTCCACAAGCTTCGGATACAAAGAAAACTTCAAATGAAACAGATGTCCTTCCTGTTCGGAGCTTACCTAATATCTGGAAAAATAACAGTACTCACCACTACAACATCTCTTTTGTCTTGGGTCACTTCCTTAAAAATAGGTTTCGATTTATTGGTATTCCATCTAAAGATTCCTTAATAGTAAATGTTATTATATGTGGGCTGCCACAACAATGTTACTCCATGAGTATTGTGTGTGATGATTATGTTCGAATTAAAGATAAAAGCTGGGATTCTGTTGCATCTGTCTTCTTCAATCTGAGAGATTTGTCTGTAAAGTTCAAGAACTCAATTGCTCACCCAGTCAGATCTGCAGTCCTAAATGAAGAAGGTATTCTCAATGCTTCTCTTTTGGGTATTCCTTATGAAATTCAATTAAAAATTCTTGGTTACTTAAATATTAAAGAGCTTGCTCAAATAGCTCAGACGTGCCAGTATTTCAGCTATCTGTCAAAAGATCAAAGGATATGGAAAGATATAGCTCGCACTGTGATGACAAAAAGTGAAATAGAGACAATTGAGTGGAGTGGATTAGGAGAGAGAAGTATTGACTGGAAGAAAGAATGCAGAGAAGCTCTGAGAAGAAGATGCAAGTTCTTTCATATTCGTAAAATTCGCAGATGTGTACTCAAGTCATAAATGTTTCTATAATGTTGAAATAAAATGTGAAAGCAGTTAATCAAATTGTTCGTTTTCTTATTTAATCTTATATTTCCTTGATATTATTATGACCAATTCTCGAGAGGAGCATTTTTCTCAAATGGCATTTCAAGAAAAGGAAGGAAATTTTAATGATATTTGCATATTTTCACCCAAGATTTTATTTTTGTGAGCAAAAGGTACACACGTAATTTCATCAGTACTAATTAGATTCAGTTTAGCATTTTCTTGGCTAATTTTCGTTCTATAGTAAAATATTCAATTGTTTATGAACAAAATTACACACACTGAAATTAAATGTATTCGTTGAGTATTAAATTTGTTACTGACATACAATGATTTTGTTTTTTACCACTTTTACATCTGACATTACAATTTTAACATTTAAGAATTTAATCTTGGATAGAACAATAATTAAAAAAAAGAAAAGTAGGATGGATGTTTTGTACATTTATATTTTAAACCTTTTTTTATTTCTTAATGCACCTGAAACAAAATATTGGATTTCAGGCTTTATTCATATTTTACAAAATAAATTTAAATTTAACATGATAAAACAGTGGAATATGTACACATTTTGCAAGAATTTATGTACAATATCTCTGAAGAAATAACAAATGGAAGTTTATCTTAAAAATACACCGCCACCTAAGTATAACGAGAAAGCAAAAAAACAATTTGAAGTAGGTAAAATAAAATTTGTAACTACTAAACGTTTCACTGAAAAACTCAATAACTACTAAAATTTCATCAGATCTGAAATATATTCCAATTTTCACAAGAATTACTTGCTGGCCCACAGGCAGAGCAATAAGTGCTAACTCCTTTAGATGTACACATGTAACCCAAAGAAATTGCAGCAGTTTCACAATGACATTTTGTAAAACCAAAGCATTACAATTAAAAGGTTTAAATTAATACATGTATCACATGTTTACAATTCACCATTGAACAGTCCATTCAAGCATTCACTTAACTCAAAATGAATTAGTGAAAAAATGGAATGACACCAAATATGGAATTTAATTTTGTTGTAAAAAATGTAATTAGTTTTCTTTCATAATTGCTTAAATAAACACAACCATTGGTGTAACTCAATCAAAACCAAACTATTTCCCAATAAATCCCATCAATGATGAAATTCTTTGTATTAGCTTAATGCCTGTATTAATATAGGTTCTGTGCAAAATATACCTCTATGGGTTTCATTCACTTTCTGAAGAATCTGATTCAGCATCAGCTTCTTCAAGCCATTTTATAAGAGGTTGCACCTAAAAAAAAAAGTGGAAAAACTTCCGAATTAGTTTCATATACATCAAAATGCAATCATCAACATTAAGATGTAGACAAACACATCAAATACATTCTACATATGATTTCTGAATATAATTTTGTGTAAGAACATGATTCAAATTTGAAAGAAAGAATAATATAATTTGAAAGCAAACAATAACATAGCATGGCAAAGAAGCCTCAGGAATCAATGTTTGATAGGCACACTTTCTGATGCAGTCGAAGATTTTAGAAACCTGTCTGAACACCACATCGAGATGAGTTTCCTACCAATCGGGCAAATTTTACACGCAGAACTTACATGTAAGATTTCCCAACATTGTCGAAAAGTGATCTTTCATCTCTTGTATATTCTAGAAGTTAGTAACGTTCATTTTCAATTTTTTCTGTTAGGAAGTGTAAAAAAAAATAATTTTAACACGCTGTCAGCCATCCCACTTTAACACAGAAATGCTGAGAGATTTGAACTTGGGCATGTTTAAAAATGTAATTGTCTCAACCCAATATTTCGAACACGCAATCTTTGTAATTTTTTTTAAAATACACAGACCACCACGTGATACCTCACCATTCTCTTTACACTACCAGAGGTCTCAGGTCAAAAAGCCATTTTTTAGAAATTTTTGAAAATATTTTGAGGCTTCATGTAAAGTACACTCAAAAATTTAAATATCCATTTGAAACTCTCAAAGCCTCGACTTCGGTGAGATTGATCGGAAATTTGGAAAAATTTGGCTGAATAGTTTAGGAGCTAGCATACACCATGAACAGACAAAATTTTTCAGCAGTACATTCTGAGGAAGGCCACATATGCTGGTCGAAACGTTAGCCACCATGTCAGTGATGCGGCTTGTTCTGGATAGCCTAGATAATACAGACAAACAAATACCAAAACATAGATTCTGGTGACACCACGTATTATTGGATTTAATTTACTACATATAGGAAAAGGTTTTAGCCACTTTTTCATTACCAGGGCCCAGCAATAAGAGTGCTGAAAATTCACCCTTTTCTGGCACAAGATTAACTGCTTTTTATGAAGTAAGTGGGAGAAAGTAAAAGGAATTTGGAGTCATTTTATAGCAAATGTTGATTGTTCTATGGCTTTCATGAAAAGTACCACTTATTAAAAGGGCTTTGAAAACAAATCTTGTTACATTTAAAAAAAAATTGTCATCATGAAAATTACACAAAAAGTACTCACATTTTCAAAAAATAATATAGTATATGACTAAGGAGAGGTTTTCTATGATTTTGCATATTTTTGTCTGTTGCTTCAGTGTATAGTTAAGTGAAATTTCATTACATTCGGTTCAAATTGGATGCTGCTTACATTAAAAAGTTAGTGCATATTTGAAAGATTTTTCCTGTTGACACATATTCAGGTAATAATGGGATCATATTTTACAAATTTCGATAAAATAGAGACTTGTCTCTGAAACATTTAGTGTTTTCATAGAATCTATTTATTTGTGAGCATTCATTGATTAAAAAGAACTGGTCAAAGATTTTTTCTATAGATAAAACATTTATGCACATGTAGGATATTTCTTGACATAACATTTTTTAAACCAGACGGTAGAAATGCAACAAGACATACAATCTACTTCACCAAGGTGCACATTTACTTCAATTATCCTTCTCCCACCGAGGAAGGTATGTTGTATTATGTTTGCACAAAAATATATCTTTTCATTCCTAGCATGCTTCTTCTGGAATTTTTTCAAGATAGGTTTATGCAGGAAATGAAATATTTTTATTTTAATTGCATATCAAAGTTCATATTTTAGAATTTTTAGGTCATAATTTTAAAAGCATATTTGAAGATTTTTTTTAAGGCACAAAAGTCCTTTTTTATTTTCCAAATTTTAACAGGTTTATTAAATAAATTTAAAAATATAAAATCAATTTTCTAATTTTGCCAGGTTTATTGAAAATTGGACAATCTGAAAGAAAATTGCATAATTCTTATCAGAATACGTCGCTCAATTAAAGCAATCGATTAGAGCAAAAAAAGTAAAGGAAAATTTGGAGCCATTTTTAAGAAAATGTTTAATGTTGTAGGGGCTTTACCAAAATTAAGATTTATTTCAAATTCAAGTGGCTGATGGCTTGATGGAAAAGTAGGTTATATTTAGATTTAAGGATTTTTTGTAATAAATTCAAAATCATTCCAATGTGTTTCATTGCGTTACACAGAGAACCGCCTGATATCACACATGGTTCTACACCCCCTCCACTTCAGAGCAGCCGAGCAAACTGCCAAGATCAACAATGCGGGAATTTAGGTGGGAATCTTCTGAGTAATGAAAACATGGCTCGCAACCATATTAGTTTTAGTTGTGACTAGAGGCTGTGCAAGTTGGACACTCCGGAACTAGATCAATCAGGGAATTTCAATTTTGGCACAAATTCTGTGTATGATTTAGGTGCAAATGTAAAAACAAATGTTTTCAAGAAAAGAATAGAAAAACTACTATCAAAGACCCCCAAAACTTGAAAGTTTGATTATACTAGTTTCATTTAAACAATATTTTGAGAAAAACTCCCTCTTACGGTATCAAGGACCTCCCAAAATGTGTATTTTGACTATTCTATATATACAAGAAAGTAAAAGACCGTTTTATAGTATCAGGGACCCAATCATGTTTTTTCTGTAAAATATTGCCACCTTTTGCCACAGCATTACATAACTTTATAGTGTACAAGAATGTTAAAAAAAGGAAAAAATTAAACAGCACTTTAAACACTAGTAATAAATAGGGAATGGAATTTATTGTAATAAAAAGGTAAAACATATATATGCTTTTGACAAATCAATACTTAATGCTATTACGTGCAATCCCTTGTGTAATTTTTCATTAATTACTTCAACCAAATTTTCCACCAAGTCTATGGTGCTTTTATTTTTTGATATGCAAATTGATTTCTGTCTATTATTCAATGTTTTTGCGATAAGAACTTTCAAAAGAACAAATTCTTTACTTATTGTATTTAATAAAGAAATGGCCTGTAGTTTTCATAGGTTGAAAAAAAATTTACCCCCTAATGAATAGGCCTTATTATGAATTCTTTTAATTTATCTGGAAAAGTTCCCTCATTAATGATGTTTTCTCTGGTACCCCAAGTAGTTGATTTATTGTTTTCCAAGTATTTTTGATGTCATTACTGCTGTTTTCAAATAAATTATTAAAATATTCTTTCTTTAGCCTCTGAATTCTTTTTGTTACATCATTTCTAGCTTTTTTATTATTAATTCTTAGTTTTTATAATTTACTCTTATTCTTTTCTAAATCTTTTTGTTCTTTGTTTAGAACTGAAGTTCTCTTCCATTTTCTAAATATGTTGTTTCTTTGTTTTATCAATTCATTTATTTCAGAGTTTATCCTGGGTTTCAAAATTACGTTTTTCTACTTTTGTTACGTTTTTTAGAGATTAAGGCATAATAAAAAAAAGATATTTTTTATTACATAGTTCAGATCGTTAGCTGTAAGGTTTTGAAGGCTAGTCTTATTTATATTCATTAGTTCTTTCTGTAGTTTATTTTTATTTATACATTTAAATTTACTTTTTATGTTGTCAAGAAAAGATTTTTTACTTATCTAATTGGAATCTCAAGTAACTTCATAATGATTTGTTATCTTCCTTTCTAATATGAATGGGATTATATTTTTGATTTTCCACTTACAGCTATATGATCGATACATGAGCTTACTACTTTGCCCTTTCTTATTTCAACCTTCGTATCCTTTTTAATGCAGTGCACCAATTTGTGATCTAGCAAGTTATCCAGGTAAACAATTGTTGTTTTTTCTGCATTACAGATATCTATATTTCAGTCTCCGATTAGTAATTTGTTCACATTTTTATCTGAAATTAAATTTTTGTCTAGTTCTTGTAAATAGAGGATTTTTCTTTTATTTGGTGGTCTATAGACAGCATATATACTTACTTCTACTTTTGTTGTTTATTTCTAAGTTCCCTGCTAATACCTCAAACTGACAACTTACCAAATTAAAAAGTTCAAATTTGTGCATATCCTGTACAAATATAATTATACGTCCTCCTCCTTCCTCTTTGCTTAATTTTATGTATATATTAAAATTTGGCAAATGATATTCTAAAAGGTCATCGTTCTTTGTGACACTAATTTCGCTCATGACAATCACATCTACATTTTTAATGCAATCTCTTGTGGTTTTGTGGTTCCACAAAATTCATCCCAGTGCTTTATTATTGATCTAATGTGTAGATGAATAAAATTGAACTTATCCTTATTTGAATTAATTAAATTTTATATATATATATATATATATATATATATATATATATATAATATTTATTTTATATGTATCTGAACTATATATAAAAATAAGTAGTGCCGTAGTGGTTTCGGACCAGAAGATCGCGGGTTCAAGACCTGCCTCGGGCATGGGTGTATTTGTGTATGTCTGTATGAGTGTGTAGTCCTTTTACTTCATTATCATCATCATCATCATCATTTCATGTTCCATGCTGGTCCTCAATTAAAAAAAAGAAGTTACATGCACCTGCCACCGCGATAATGAAACTAAGCCGCAGTAAATGCAGGATGCATGCATGCGTGGTCCTAGTCGGCTATGTCTTTATTTCTGGTGAGGTTCAGGCCGTAAGGCCTGCTCTTCCGCCTAACCACATCATATATGTATTCGCATATATCATCAATATATGTATTTACATGAAAATTCATTCCCTAGTAATAAGTGAACAGATATTTTGTCTTTACTCTTCCCGTAGTACCCACAAAAGGAGTGGCTAAACTGTACAGTCAATCAATAATGTGAGAAATTTTGGGAATTTACAAGAAGTATGAAACCAGTTGAAGTACCTAAATTCGAGTGATTTGTAAATGTATATAGAATTATTTGCAAATGAAAAGGTTAAATTTGAAAGTATGTCAAGAAAAATACTGTCTGAAATTAATTCAAAGAAATTTGGAAATAAAAACAAAATTATATTTTTCTTTATCCTATCCCGATAGGTGGCTTGATTTTGTGTTTATTTATTCTCAAAGGGGTTGTAACCCTTATACAAGAAAATTGATACTTGAACCTTACCAATACTGAAAGAAAAAAGTTACAAAGTAGAGCTATTAAATACAAAATATAAGAGAGACACAAAACCAAGTCCTTATGTAATACTGAAAAATAAAAGCGCTTATGTCACGTTCGCTCACACTAAAGTACAAGAGACAAAATAAATATAATTACATCTAATAATAAAACTGATATTTAATAAATAAAACTAAGAACTAATTTTCTAGTAATATTAATTTCATATTTAATTTTTTTTACATACTTCCTTTCTTATAGCTGTAGCTGTTGGAGATGTTTCATCAGTTGTATTATACCACTCCATTATGGCATCTTCTTCTAAAATATCATTTCCATACAATATATGAAGTAGCTTTGGGAGTGAATCCCACAATTCTGATTTTCCTCCAATGGTATCCTTGAACACAACACAGTGATACGAAACATAAAACAAAGTTCTTAAAATTCTAGAATCGTTTACAATCATTTAAACATTATCTCAACAAGATTTTCCATAACAATATTGCTCAAAAACACTCTTATAATATACTTTAAAGCATATGTCGGTAATATTGAAACATTTTCTCCTTTTGAATATACCATTAACTTTCAATTCCTAATCACTGTTGAAACCAAACTGCACAAAATTCTTCTTTTGTGAGCTGACTAATTAGTAATTAGCGTACATCTGTCTCATATTATTTTAGGATTTCAAAACTCTAATCCTGCTCACTTAGAATTACACATCTACGGGTTATTACTATCATTCTTCTGAAAGTTTTCTTTAAAATCTGAAGGAATTAGTACATTTTCCCTTTTACATAAATGGAGTGTCTGTTTAAATGCAACTACTTTTATGGTAGCAGATTTTTTCTTCAAGAAATGAAAAATTAATGTCATTATTTGTCTCAAGAGTGCATTTTTCGGGGGTAAAATTGTTCTAGAATGTAATTCCAACTGATAATTTCCAAAATGATGTATTTTTTGGGTAATGTATAATTAATAGCAAGAAAGATGTTAAAAACGGCCCCCTTGTTCAGACTGCTCACTTTCTCCAGAGAAGTTTGTACAAAGGCAACATAGGCAGCTGCCTACGGTGACAAATTTTTAAGAGATGCAGATATTAGCAGAATTGTTTCTTAAAGTGTGGCAGAATATAAAATTAAAATATAACACATATGGTAAATATATCTTTTATCTTCAAGGGCATGTCGTCTCCATCATAGGTAGGACCGCAATACGGAGAGGGATGAGTAGAAGTAGATAGTAGCATTATCAGAAGAAGTACAAGTTTTTGGTGTTATAATTATTTTAACCTTCAGTGATTTTTAAAATTGACGGTTAACTGGAAAGAGCAGCAAAATTACACATGCTCACAGTGTTAATATATTTTGTATAATATTGTAAATGTAAATAGTTTAGAATAGTGATAATTGCATTTTAACTCTATTTAAATGATACAAGGATAATAATTTAGGTCTATAACTGCATTATAATTAATTTTTTTTTATGTGCATTTTTTTGAAGCCAGGTATCTGAAGACAGCTGTAAGGGTAACTGAAACATTACGAAACCTACAATGTAGCAAAATTTATGTAAGGCAATAAATCAATCTGAATGACTGAAATCTGAACAGGAACTGTTTGTTTTAAATTAAAAAAATCAATTCCAACCTTTAATATTAATGTTTTGAAATATTGCACCAAATTGATGATACTAATGACAATTCCTCCAGAGTTATGGTAATTCTCATATGCAGATTCACAAAGTTAAGTGACCTTCTGATGTATAGCTATGATTAAATTATGATAACTTGATCAATAATTGTGTGGGGTAGAAAGCCAGAACACTTAAATTATTGATAACAAGAGGGGCGCCAAATTATTTTTAATTTTACTTTCATGAACTTATTGTATGTGAAGATCTTTTCAAAATTTGTAAAATACTCTACAAAAGACAAAGTTTTCCAATCTTCTAATTAAAATTTACATTTTAAAATTAAAACTTACATTTTATGTTTTATACATTGTGCATTAGAAATATTAACAAAGAATTTAACTGGAGGCAGGGTGACAACTTTGGTCTTTCCTAGGGCAGCAAAGAGGCTAAATACAGCCAAGACTTTCTCAATTAAACTTTGTTAAAAAAGAAAGCGTTTTGTAAAGCTGTATAGAAAGGAAATTTTTTGCTCCTGTAGGTAGTAAATTACATTCATGAATACGTAATGTACTCAGTATCCAATTCTCATGATTAGCTCTGACAATTTTTAGCTTAAATGAAGTAGTGGTGCTACAACAGCACATACTTTCTTGCATTATGGGAAACAGCTACGTAATATTGAAATATTAATTGCTCTGTGCTTCTAGCATCTCAGCTATTATTTGAAAACGTGCCAATTAACCAAGAAGCGAGTAATGCACAATTACCAGTGCAGCATTGTCAAAGTTATGTGCATTCGCTTCGATAGTAATATCAATACAGTGAAATAATTGCAACAATTCTACTCTCATGAGACGTTCTCCTAAGAACGATAGTGTTTTATCGTATTTATTTTATTCAATAAGCAGTAAATATTTTTAGGGATTAGGTGATATTAAATGGTCTTTAACATACCTCATTGGGCATTCTGGAGTAATTTGTAAAAAACCACTGTGAAATTCTTAAAAAGATGTGTACAGAAGATTTTGTCTGACACAAAAATCTTCATCTTCAATTTTGAAGTTAAATTTTTTTTCTGCCAATTTTCGAAATATCGGGGATGTTATCAGAAACAAGACCTGCACCATTCTCTTAAATGTCCTTTGCACTATTCAACAACAAAATTTAATAAAAAATATTGGAGCATTTAAAAATAAAAAAAAATGTTCTAGAGACTTTGTAACCCCCAAAATTAAAATATCAAATACCAGGGTTCGCGTCATCAGTTAGAACGATAGGAAAATATCAATTTTGGAGAAAATCCGCCAAACAATTTATACGCTAGCATTGTGCACGGATGGACAGACCTGGTATAAAGGACACACAGAACATGGATTCTGGCTACATCACATGTTAGAGGAATCCTTCTGCCCCATAAATTTAACAATTATCCACTTTTTCCTTACCATGGTCTGGCAAAAAGAGTTTTTGTGTTGAAAATTCGCTGTTTTCCAGTGCACGATTCTTACGTTAGCATGTGCAAGAAAGTAAAAAGCAATAGAGACAACTTTCATTGTAAGTTATACATTGGCTGAGGCAGGCGAGACATTATAGCTGAGAAACTCATAAATATGTTACATTCTCAATTATCAGTTATAACTCGACCCAAGAATGTAAGATATATACTACACTTTCTGTGACTGAAAATATAAATGAAAAATTATTATCCTCCAAAATAGTCTCTAAGGATAAACCAGAATGTTAACTGTGAAGGCTCTGCCTACTAAGAGGATGTGTTACATACAATGCTTTCCTTATTTCTATTTCATCACTTACTCCAAATAAACTTGTTCTGCTTTCATGAAGTTAAGAATTGTCATTACTCTTGATGTTCTGTTTTTTAAATGACAATCGCAGGCCACTGAAGGGCCAAAAACTTAATAATCTGTTTCTTCTAATACTAATGAAGATATAAATGTCACAACTTCATATTCAATTGTCACAGCATTAAATTTAGTCAAAAGTTAAAAATATGTAACTTTAATACAAGTGTGTCAAAAAAATTGTAAAAATAAACTTTGATTACATTTATTCCCAAAAATTCTGTTTTGTGGCAACGATAGATTTATGAGCATGGATAAAAACTAAATTGGAAAGTCTGCTAAACTTTTAATGGGTCACAAATAATCTCGAACATTTTAATGGCTGTTGCTATAGATACATTCTCAATTTTTTGTCTAGTAAGATGATTAGTCGCTAAGGAGCCAAGTGCATGTTTATAGATGTAAATAACAAAAAAAAAACAACACATTAGTACTATTGCTCTCACACAAATAAAGTGTCATATCAGTCTTTTTTTTCAATGTCAATCATTCACCTAGCAATCCACACTATGACCACAGAGAAATATTTTTGTAACAACTAGTTATTGTAAATTTCCTGTAATAATCATTGTAGTTACTCATTTTTCCAATTATAATAAAAGTACTCACACTTTGTGGAAAGTAATAGATTACATTTTGTAATTAGGGTATTTAGAAATGGATTGCCCAACTCTGGGCTGAAGTCATGTCCATTTGCTCAAAAAGTAGGGGAGTCAACGTATGTAGCAGATCTAGTGGTTCTATATTACTATTATGAAGATACAGTGGAAGAATTATGACATTATCTAAACCCCCTCCTAATAGATCAAAGGTTGAAATTTTCAGAATTATTAGTAGTGTTTGAATAAAATAAAAATCAGATAAATGGGACAACTGTGATGATATTTGCATGGATGATGCAAAGGCAACCATAGGAAAAACTGTTAGTGATGTGTTAAGTATACAAAACTTGTATAATATGTATTCAAGCTTCATTCAACTTTTAGAACAAATTTTAAAAATTATTCTTTTGTGTCAAACACTCCAATATGGTGCTTTAAATCGCACAGTAATCATTCATCACTGCTCACAAAAAGTATATTTACCATACATCATACACATAGAATACAGAATCATCATACATCCAGCAACACTAGTCAACCTCAGAGGCATCATATGGCACAGTAATTCAAATAAGTTTTCCAATTTTATGAATTTGAATATTCTGTCAAAATTTAACCACCTTAAGCAGCAGCTGCATATATACACAACTCTGAGCTTCACTTATACAATTGTTTGCTCATCTTTCTCAATTTTTTCTATCAATGTCTCTGCCTTTCTTCTATCTATATCTTACTCTATTCCAATCCGTACGACTTATTCTACTTTCCATACCTCTTCATTTGCTGCCCACCTGACACTTCCATATTAACTTATTTATATTTGTACCCACTACTTTTTTTACTCTCCTAATCCTCCTCTCACCTCTTGCAGCCTTTCTTTGCTTATCTATCTTCATCATTTCCTCTCTACTTCAATCATCACATAATAATTTGCTGTAGCCTCTCTACTGCTTTCTGCACCTCATACTCACCATTTTCCTTTAATATGTATTCTAAATGTTTGTATTCCCTCACTTGCTCAATACTTTTGATTTTCCGATCCCATCTTCTTCTCCTTCCCTTGGTGCATTCCAATATCTTACTCTTTTCTACACTCAACTTTATCTCTTTCATTTAGAAGTGTTTCTCACTTCTTTAGCATACACCTCTCTCTGTCCTCCTTTGCCAAAATAACCATAATAATTGTGATTGGATTTTCTTATAACCTATACTCCACCCTCTTCCCCTCTCTCCAAATGGCCTTCCAGTTCTGTCATGAAGCCATTCAACAAAGTCATGTGCATTAGGCTTCCCTGCCTCACTACTTTACACACCCAGAACTATTATCCCACTTTATCTATCTTTACCTTGCACTTACTTTGTACACTTCCCCAACCACAAGCCATTAACCCTTTGCTAATTTTTATAATATAGAGGAGATATAAGATATCTAATACAACAACAAAATACCTCAATAGCTTGAAGACAATCTTTTTGAGCTTCATCATTCCTTATGTATTTCTTCAAAATAGGCATAAAATATGCCAGTCCTTTCTTAATCTCTGCAAAACTTGTGGAGCTTGATGGCAAACTTAACAAAGCTCTGACTACATTATAATTTACTTCCTGAACAGTGACGTTATAAGCATAACGTGATGAATTTATTTCCAAAATTAAATGGTCACAATCCAATTTATCTTCAATTCCTCTAGACAAAGAATCTAGAACCTCGTTGAAAAACACTGCAAAAAAAAGTAACACATTCTGTTCAACATTGATACCTAAACCAAAACAACTGTTTCTACAAATGGACCTGGGAACCTCATGACAATTTAAAAGGCTTTATTAGGAAAGTTAGAAAAGCTTACAGTTCACATCATCAGGTACTGGAGAAGCCCTATAGGACATATCATTGCTGCCAGTTAAATCATCATCGCTTTCTTCCTCACTCTCCCCTTGAGAATCCAGAATGAGGCCGGAAGGATGACAAATTTTTGTCTCTTCCTCTGAATCTGAGTCCTCAGTTATGCAAGTATACATGAAAGCTTTTTCACCGATTTTTACTATTTTCCGATCTGAAAATAGAAATGTGCTGGTTTATTAGTAGTGTATATTACATACTTAATAATATGATGAAACTCAAATTTAATTTTATCATTTCAAAATAAACTTCATTAACGCTTTTGATTCAAATGTGAAAAGGAAAAAGTTAATTGCTTTTTACTTTATATGAGTGTTGTTTTGCCTAAGTTGGAATTAGAGCCATAAGTAAAACTTTTTGTTTTGGCCTAAGCTGAAAAAGAATGTTTCATATCACAGACAATATACTATTAATAAAATCTAACTTTACAGTTGAATGCAAAAGAGACTTAAATTTCAAAATATTGAGTTTTTTTTATCACTGACCCTTTATTATTCACAATCCACCTCATGTATCATGATTTTACATTCACACCATATCCTTGATCTACTTACCAGATATATTTTCATTTCCATCATCTTTCAAAACACTAGTGCTGGCAACCAAATAAGCATTTTTTATATCTTTATTTGCATCAAGAACTGTCTCTGGACCTACAATACAGCCTTGACCAAGTTTACAGCCATTCTTTAATACTGTTCCACTCGCCACCACAGAAAACTCCACACGGGAGTTATCTTCCAGCACAACATTATCCCATAAATAGGAATTTGATACAAATACATTTTTGCCTATAACACAATTTCTTCCAATAACAGAAGATGTAATGTATGTATTCTCCCCAATAACAGTGTCTTCTGCAAGAACTACATCTTCTTCAAGAACACAACCTCTAAAAAAATGACAACAAATTTAACAATGAAGTGTAAGAGATAAAATTACAACAAGCAGAACATGATCATGCAATAGCAACATTTTTGAAATTTAAAAAAATGTTATATCGAAATTATGTTTATGTCATGTTATCTAAGCATTGAGCTCCAACCATTCAAAAAGTTTAAAGTTGGAAACATATTCGAGAAAATTCTGTTTTTAAAATTGCCTTTATTTGACGCACAATTAGGCAAAAACTACATATTTTGCAAAAAATTGTTCATGTCCTTGATGAAAGATAATTTTGAACAATGGATTTCACAGGGGAAAAAAGATCTCTATCTTCAATGAAGTCAGAAGACACTGATATGGAAGATGCTGAAAAATATGTAAACTTTTGCAATTTTTGGGAAAATTCTGAAAGTGTCATTGGGGCTTCTTGTACAGTATTACCCCAAAAATTCCTATTTCAAATTAAAGGGGCCATGATCTCAGCCAGATAGAGCACGGAATATCAACTTTGGTGAAAATTCTACCTACAGTTTAGCCACTTCTGTTGTTCAAAGTTGAAAAGATGAAAGTTTTGCAATAAACCAATTTTTCATCATCAAGAACTTATAAAATACGAATTCTGACTATGCCGAAAAATCTTTTTTTTTTCTCCACTGCAGTGTCACGTCACTTTCTCTATGAAAGAAAGTAAAAAAAAAATAATAATAATAAAAAACAACAACAACAAACAAATAAAAGTTTCAGCATTCAATTCTTCTAATTTGATAATATCTTCAATATGCTGCTGTTGTTCTTTCTGCCTGTAAGAAATCCCAACAAGCACAAGTAGGATGCTACTTATTAAACTTCATCATTTTCAATTAACTGGTATCTTGATACCAGGTAACTCAGTGAGGTTGGTGCAAATTAACAATAGCTATTATCTATCTATTTTGGTATTTGGCTTCTACATTAATGACAAAATTACACAAGAATAAAAAAAATTTCATAAAATTTTTGAAAAATTAGATTTTCATTCACATAGCTGTAACAATGACATAACTCTCTTCTTGAACACACAAATATTACCTACTTTGCCAGCTTTGCAGACTTCTGTTGATACACATTATGGCGCAAGTACATGTATCTCTCACCAGAAGCAGTCAGAGTAACATCTGGAACCAATGGGTATACCCAACGATGTATGATGTCATGGCTGTAAAATATATATTTAATTTTATTGGAATAAAATAAATAATAATAAAGAAAAATCTAATGAAGTGAACAAACAATGTCAGGAACAATAAAAAACGGCTAAAACGGAGAACTTAAATCACTGAATCAAAACATATTTAATTTTAAAATTTAATGGTATCTGTGAAAGAAAGGGGTAGAAAAAAATAATTCAAATATTTAGTTATAATTACTGGCAAGTTCTGTAAATTTTTTAAAATGTGTTTTATTAAAGAAATATAAATTTAATAAAATTTCTTTTGCTGCAAAAATTTGTCTATTATTGGGGTGTCTGTTATTGTTGTCTGATATTCAAGATAGTTAAAAGTTCAATATCCCCATAATTTAATGAACAAGAACACACTTTTCTATTCACTTAGTAAAGGAGGAGGCATGCTGAATTATTTCACCATTGCCTGCCCAGTTGCAATTCAGAGGTGAAACACAACTTTCTTTTGGGTCTTTTTAAATATTTGAACATTTTTACTGCAGGAAGTTACCAGTAAAGAGATCTTTGTGGTAAAATGGATAATCTATGCAACTACAGCATGAGAGTTATTGCTAGGTACAATGTTTTCAAGCCTGATAATTTCACCAAAACACTGTCTATGTAGGGGTTAAACATTTCAGGCGTAACATGGTCAAAACTGCTTTTTATTTGAAGGAAATATATTTCCTGACGTTCCAAACGTCCTTTTTACTATTCTTATGATGCTGCACTTGCTTTTAACACATAGGTTAACAACTGTTGACAAGACATTTTCTTCACCATCATGATAACAATGACAATGTTTTTAAGATGCAGTAGCACTTGCCCCAACCATGCGATCTTGGCAGGGCCTTAGTGATCTCGCAATTTGACACCCAACTTGATTATTATTCTTTACACTGCTGGATGTGGTATCGACTGTAGGTGCTTCTGCAGAGTTCGCACAAGCAGGTTTCCTTTGGACTGTGGAAAGTCTTCAGTTTACACACCAGATAGGGAAAACCATGCACTGTGGATCCCAAGACACATCTCATAGTTTGCCGACATCCAGTTTCTATTACACATTGTTCCAGACGTGTAAGTCTCTGGCCATATTTCTTCTCATTCTTGTTCAGGCTTTGTAGGATTGATTCCATTGCCTTAGATCCATTGGTCCAACATCCTCTATCAAGAACGCTTCCTGGGAAAGTACATATGCCAGCATAGATCTTATTCTTTTAAATATGCCCAATGCTCATTTTAGAAACATGGCTTTCACTTTTTCCAGGTCATATAGATTTCCTATAGTGAGTTTTTCCCTGATGATACCAATACCTGAGAAATGTACTCTCTAAATTAAATGATGAATCAAATAATGGAAATACGTCCAAGAAAATGAGGTACATAAATGAAGTTCCTAATTTGATCGATGAATCTCATTTGGCAGGAGACATTTCTCAGCCCTTCAGAAAAGCTGAATTAGAGGCAATCCCATCGCTTCTCACTTTATTACCAAAATGCAAGAGGATTGATGACTAAACTGGTCAAATTTTCAAAGTCTTCATCTCAATATGACAGCTTTGATATCCTGATTTTCACGGAAACCTTCCTTTGTGATGGTATCCTTGACGTTGAATTAAATTTTAATAACCACGTCATTTATCATCTGGATTGAAATGCTGCTACAAGTGATTGTACCAGGGGTAGAGGAGTTATGAATGCTGTTCATCGTAATGTTTGCAGCTCTCTGATTAAATTATCAATTGCAAATGTTGAACATTTACTTTTGAATTACATTTGAATTTTTACTATTGTTAAATAATTTTATAATTCTATTCACAACGTTTTGGAGATTGTTCTGTTTTCCTCATCAGGTACAACTGAAAATTTAATTATACATTGTTTTCAGGATTTTCACAAAATTACAAAAATAACAATAAATTTATATTTGTACCCAATTCAAAGAAAGCTCACCTGTTATAACAGAAAACAAACTAATATTCACAAAAACTACATACAAATTAGAGAGAAACATTTGAATATTAAAATAAGTGGTGGAGTGCTGTCCAGCCACATTATAGTTGATCATTTAAATTGAGTCGTTGATAGTGGAGGGATAATGGAAATAAGGATATAGTTGAAGGTGCAATTCAGAAAGGTTTGATCCTAATGTTAAAAAAGGAAGCTGTTATTGTTGAAAAATATTTAGTATGTTGTCATAAGTTTATCATCCATGTATGTCCATTGAAATAAATGTATCGTCCATGTACCTGATACAAAGAACTGTACTAATCAGAGCTAAAATTTTTTTGTTCAATATAGCGCTTCACAATTTTACAAAAAAGGGAGCTTAATGGGCTTCCGATAGGACAGCCTTGTTTTGGGCAATAAATTTTGTTGTTAAACTTAAATTTCATATTATTTAGTAAAAAACTAACACAAATTATTATTTCTTGTTCAGGAATTGACATTTTGGGCGAGTTTTCATTCAAACTTTGTTAGAGTATCTCTAAAATTAGTTGATGTGGAATTGAAGGGAACATTGAAATAATATCAAGTGATGTCATTCTGTATTTCTTTTCCATTTTTTTTGTGCTCAATTTTGAAATCAATTGATAACTATTTTTAATAACATATGGGTAATCCATGTTAAGTAAATGTTTAAGAATAGCACTGAGGTATTTGGATAGTTGGTACTCAGGAGTTCCAACGGATGTAACAACAGGACGCATGGGACAACCTTGTTTATGTATTTTCAAGAAACCATATGATCTAGATAAATTTGCTATTGTAGAATAAATCTTGTAATAAGTTTTTGTATCTATATATTCGTTATTTCTCCATCGTTTTAAAATTTGTTGTGTCTCTGTTAGATTCTTGTTACCTTTTTTGAAATGAATTACATCATATGTATTGCTATCAGTAAGAATTTATTCAAGTTTGTTCACATAATCTACTAGATAAATGGCAGCATGTGCACCTCCTTTATCACATTAAATGAACAGAAGGCCTGGATTTTGTTGCATAAATTTCTTTGTGACATTTAGCTTTTTAAAATTTTAAAAATACATACTTATTCCATGAGAAATTTGTTAACCTTACTAACACAGACAAACCTCAACAAGTTGTAAATATTGTTAATATGGGGAAGAAGTTTAGCTTCCCCACTACTATTAAAGAAGATAAATTAATTGCATTTAATATTATTAAGGAATTTGAGAATTCACTATTTAATATTCCTGAACAATTTAGAAATAAAGATAGACTTGTAGCAAATCAATTGAATAAATATTTAGATAAAATGCCTAAACATGATATGATAGATACAGTTTATGCACTTCAATGCAATGACTGTCAGTTAAATTATATTGGCCAAACAAAGAGAAGAATTAAACAGAGAATAACTGAAAATAGAAAAAATATCAATGAGGTTACAAATAGACAAAATTCAATATTCCAACATAGAATTAACCCAAACCATTCAATAAATTTTGATCAGTTTCGTATTTTAGTAGTGGAACCCAACAGAAATAAAATATTAATAGTAGAAACATTAAATATAAAAACTCAGAATACCATGAATACAGTTATAAATACACATTTACAAAAATTTATGACAACATACTACATATTTTTCAACAACAGCTTCCTTTTTTAACATTTGGATCAAACCTTTCTAAAGCAATTTTGCATTACATCTTTTCTATATCTCTGAAACAAGGTCTCTTCTGTCACCAAGGAAAAAAGTTATTTAATACTAATCCATAAATCAGGAAACCGATCTAGTGTAAATAGTTGTAGACCAATACCTAAAATTAGTGTTATTCCTAAATTATTTGAAAGTGTAAGTACTAACCAACTATCCACTAGATTAAAAATTGATTGAGGAACAGCATTAGTTTAGGAAAAAGAGATTAACTACCACAAATCTTGTTTTTTAATAATTTTGTAATAAACAATTTGGAATCTAATTCATATGTGGATGTTATCTACACCAATTTCTCTAAGACATGATATAGTGAATCATAAAATTCTAACCTGTAAACTACTCAATCTCAGTAATCATGGGGAACTGTTAAATTGGCTTGGGGAATATATTCAAGATAGAACACAGAATGTAAAATACAAAACTTTCTTATCAAGAGATATTTGTTACTTCTGATGTTCCTCAGGGATCCCATCTAGGGCTGTTGCTCTTCTCATTATTTGTCAATGATCTGAAGAGGGTACTGACAAATTGTAAATTTTTATTATTTGCTAATGACTTGAAATTGTTCTCTGAATTCACAACATTGGATGATTGATAATCATTGCATATGACATTGCAAGAAAAGACAAATTGGTATACTCAATATTCTGGTCCTTAATATTAGTAAAAGAAAATATAAGTCAATCGGTAGATTTAAACACTTGCTTGATTTTTATTGTAATATCAATGATCATTCACTTGAAAGAGTAACAAAATTTAAAAAAACAGGGTGTGATTTATGATGAGCTTTAACTCTCATTTTGACTATGTTATATCTAAATCAAACAAGATTCTAGGATTTATTAAAAGAATGTTTGAGGATTTCAAAAGTCCCATGACATTTAAAATCTTATATCTAACTCTTGTCTGTCCTAATTTATTATATGCGTCACCACCCTTGTCACCCTTTTTTTCTTCTTTTTCTTTTTAAATTTGTGGCATCAAATTTGACGCTACGCATCTCCAAGCCCCATGAGGGGCATTGAGCGCTTCATGCTTTTGGAGTGATCCTGCATTAATTTTAACATTGTCTGTCACATCTCATCTCATTTAAGAGGACTGCCAGATAGCATCTCTGCGTACGCGCCTCTCTTACACAACTCTGAGTCACTACCCAGCAGCCAGAATTGGAAAGGAATAAAGAGAGCGGTAAGGTTTAGGATGCTTCACAGGAGTTAAACTAGACCTTATGAATCATGCAGACTCATTTTGTCGTAACAAATTTTACATGAGGTTCAACAGAGATTCAACGGCAATCTAACTTGGAACCTGAGTGGTGAGAGGCAGGCAACTTCGCCATTGTGCCATTTTCACAAGTTCATATAAATAGGATTGAAACTGCCCAGCATAAGTTTTTTAACTTTGTTCCTCATAAAAAAAAAAGAATTGCCTTCACCATATGTATTAAATGATTATAATAAAATTGCAACTATACTGGGACTTGGCTCATTAAATTCTCATAGAATGTATGTTGATTATTTATTTTTGTATAATGTATGCAATAACGTATTGATTGTCCCGGTTTATTGTTATGGAAATCTGTATCCAAACTTCGCAATGTTAACCAAGCTGTATTTAATATTCCTTTTTGTAAAACAAATGTTTATCAAAATGCACCCCTTTGGCATATGTGTCAAATAGCAAATAATGCAAATATTGATTTGTCTGAATCTTAAATTAAAGTTTATAGTGAAAAAGATATTATATGATTTTAACTAATGTGGATTGTGTTTTGCGTGTTACATATTTGTAACTGGACATTGCCTGTACCAATAAGTAAATAAAATAAAATTTCTAAATAAAAAAATATCATAAGTAAGACTTTTGCTTTAAAAAGCTTCATAGCTTTGTTCAAGTCCAAAACCCTAATAAATTTCATTTTATTGATGGCTATCATTGCTTGAGAGGTTTTCTCTGTAATGTGTTTGGTGAAGCTTCTACCTCTTGTTGTTTGTAGTGTAATTCCTAAGTATTTGAAACGAGGGATTGCTTCCATCTTCCTACAATCAATTTTAAATGTATTTTGTGGGACTTTCCCTCCCTTTCTGTAAATCACATTTTCCCTTGCTAGTGTTAATTTTGAAGTTTAGGGTTTGGCACAATTTTTTCATTTCCTCAATGGCTTCTTGCAAAGTGTTCGTGTCCTCTGAGCATATGTCATTGACATATGTGTACACAGTTACTCCCTTGTTTCTTGCTATGTCAATCAGGTCTGTAGGTGCGGGGATAAATAGTAAGGGGACTTAATGGGTCACCCTGAAGCACTCCGTTTGTTTTAATAATTGGGGCTGATATTACACCATCATCCACACGCACTGAACTCTTTTTCTTCTCTTTGATCACAGTAGGCTGTGAAATTACTTTTTAACATTGAAGTTGCCTTGGTCCATGCGCTATTCTGATTGTTGCTTATGAGCATGCAGCACAATCATACTTTTCTTTGTTCTGCATTGAATCATTTTTGTGCGAATTTCCCTTTCGGGTTTGAACTTTCTGTTGCCTTACCAATTATTTTCTCAATTATTTCGGTGGCTTTGCTCAGCTGGTTATTGAATCTTCTAGCTCTTCCATTGTATTTATTACTACTTCACTTTGAAACTTTCTTGACCGTCCTTTAGATTGTAGCGTTAGATTATTCGCTTGTTTAGTATATTTCAAGGAACTCTGACTAGCTGATGTTTTCTTATGGTCAAAGTGTTTGAGTATGTGAGCAGTGTGGCATACCTAGTTGTACAGCCTCTTCAGATAGCTAGATTGATGGTGCTCTGTCCATTTGGCGTTATGTAGGTTGGTTCTTTTTCATAGTTACGAGGAAACATTCCTGGGCTAGTGCGTCTCTGACCGTGGATGTTTTATGGTTGGTGATCAAGTTCGCTCTTTCCTTTGTAAGTTGTGTCCTTGATTCTTCTATTTTCTCAGTTGGGGGAAGAGCAAAATCATTGTCAATGTCAATCAACCAGTTTCAATGGATGGATGAACAATGTCAATCAACCAATGCATGGATGAATAGTAACTGTGCAACTTGGTGATGGTCTTTAACTGTCATATTTATGTTCTTTTATTGTCATATTCTCTGTAAAGAGATTGCACACGTCTTTTTCAGAGTAATAATAAACAACTTGATTACTAGTGTTGCGGACAATTGTTCAAAATGAACAACGGTCCTCAAATCTGCAATCATTTCACAGAAGACTTGAATTCACTGAAGAACCATTCAGCACAGGAACTGAATAATTACCTGTGATTGGGAAACCCATACATTCCATTTCCTTCCTTGCAGATTGACAGTGAACACACATGTGAATAGCACAGAATATTTATTAACACTTCCAAATTTATAATTCATTCACTGGAGATCGGAGGTAGATTGCCAACCAAAAAGTCAGAAACTTAACCCATGAACAAGGTGTTTCTCTTAAATTTGTAAAATACTTTAACAATTGGATACAACTTAAGATGGAAATTAATACAAGTTACAGTAGAAAGCTTTTCGTCAAACAATAAAAACCTTAAAAAAATGGCTAATTGTAAATTATACTATTACATTGACTAATTATAACCTGTACATAAAATAGCACACTATAGCTGATTTTCTGCACAAGTCAAATAAAATTCACATCCTATTAATATTTGATTTTCAGCAGGTTCAACAATGATTAATTTGTCATACCTCACAGCTTGATACATGTGCCATGTAGAAATCTGAGCAGCATATTCAGCAGTATCAAGGCAATGCCAATAAATAGTACTAGCAAGAATCTCCTCATTCATAAGAATGCCTCTTACAAAATCATCCAGAGACTGAAAGTCAAAATTGTCTGAAAAGAGAGGAGGAACTGCAGGAGAGCAAAGATATATCCGTGTAGCCTGTAAATTGTACAACAGCTCTGTCTTTGATCGATCCATAAACGTTTCCTGTGAATTAACAAAACAATGTTTTAATCAATAGTTTGGAAGAGAATTATCATAATAAAATAATAAACCTTGAATTTTTACCAGAGGAAATACAATTTTTTTTGAAGTTTGCCCCACTTTTTTATGAAAAAGTATTCTATTTGTAGATGAATCTACCGCTAGAACAGTTTCATCTTCTGGGGATCTGGTGTTGTGTCCTGGACCAGCTTCTTTATACAATATTGTCATCACTGCTCCTTTGTCTTGTTTTGCAAATTTCCTGAACATAAAAAAAAAATATTATATTCAAACAATAATTTAATTATTCAACAAATTACATGCAATACCAGTTATCTGATGGCATTGCACCACTCTCACATCACAGAGTAAATGTAATTTATTTGTCCCGTCAAGATCAAAACGAGCAAAAATAGCTACAACAAAAATGCAAGGGAAACTGGTTATAATGATCCTCAGGTGAATTTACCTAGGTCAATTCTTATTAATAGGACCCAGATTGTAATAATCTAAAAATTAGCAAAATGTGCAAGTATTTAAGTGTTAAAAACTATATAAATATGACCTTCAAAAATAAAACATGATTTTATATAATTTATTTATTCATTTTATTTACTCTATTTATATATTTATTTATTTTTTTTAAATTTCATTTGAATTTTTTAGATATAACAAATACACAATTCACTCAAGAACAGATTGGGAGTGTAGTATTAAGTTTTGCAGTCTTTGGAACTCACTAGCACTTTACAAAAATTGATTGTGTGTGTAAAACAAATCAAATACGGTACAATAAAAACCAAAATGTCTTGCTTTACTACAGCATACTTCTTGTTTAATGTTATCCAATTTTCTCTCAGTCAATTTCTGGAGAGTTGCATTGGATCACAAAGTGCATTTTCAGGTTTTTCATCTTAAAAGACCTATGATTGAATTGAGGATAGTTTTGTATCTGGAATTGCTCCTCTCCACATCACATGATATTACAGGAGCATATTTGAAGGTAGCGATGTCACTGCAGGGCAGCTTAAGTTCATTGTCTTCAAAAGTTGCAGCATTTCCAGAAATTATATTTCTGATTTTGCACATTGTAGATTATTCAGGATGTTGTTGAAGAATACTCAGCAATTTGTTGTACACTTTTTCACATCACATGACCAAGATTTCGACCCAACTCACTCTGACCATATTACACAATATTAAGACGTCACACAGTTGAGTAAAAGCAGCTTCCATAAGGGTGATAGCTTTTGATACCACTGAAAGATTGATGTTGATGTATGCCACGTTTCCATACACGGTATCTGAAAACATTTCTTGCACAGTTTTGATAACACTAGATTCTTGGCTATCAAACTCTCAAAAGATTTTCTTTATTCCCTTGTAGTTGGTAGAATAATACTTGGCAGCCAAGAACCTCAATGTGTAAGAACAGGCTGAGGGAGGAGAGATAGTGAAGGTGCTTGTTTCTTGAATTTCTGCACCAGTACTGGATTAATTAATGGGTTAAAGTAGGGTACATGGTACACCCTTAGAGAAGCTTGGCGGTGAGGAGCGGAAGGGGAGGGAGGGGAAGGGGGAGGAGGGGCGTCCCTCAAATTACGCTAAGTGCTCTGACAGAAATAAATGAAACTTACCGATAGATGATTTTTATGGCGGTTTGACTGATGATTTTTTACCCCAATGATGTCATTACGAATACCTGAATTACACACAACTTGCTACCCGCAAACCATGGCCCCTTCCGCACAGAACACTTCCGCACATGAAGAGTGGCCCATTTCTTGCTACAATTCCACTCGAATCCATCACACAACTTTTGCTTGGCCAACTTCATAGGTCGCTTACACACAGCACACTTAAATCCTACAGCAATCAAACTTTGTTCTTGCGACAATTCAATGACAGCAAGCACCCCCTTTGCCGCAACACACAAAAAAACAACACTTATTCTCATAATCGTAGCACAGGCACTTGACACTCAAAAACACAAACCACAAAGAATCCGAAGAACGCAAGAAACTGAACTGTAAGACAGCAAAGTAGCTAAACACTTCGACAGCGACCCAACACAAAATCACGTAGACACATGATTTACATCCCACCACCCACCATTTCGTAATGAAGTTTTGACAAGATGGATGAAAGGATGAGGATGAAATTTACCCCACCCCCAACTTTTGACGTCATGTTCGTGATCAATTATGAGCCATTAAAATTATTTCAGAAGTGTTTCTTTTTTTTTTACATTTTATATAAATTGCCCATGCTTTTCATTTTAAATGTGTGTACTAAGTTATGCATATTGCTCACCACCTCTCCCCACTGAAAGGTTCCACTCAAAACACCCTTTGCCCCCTCCACCGGGAATTTCCCCCTCGCCAGAGGGCAGGAACTGCTGGTTTAAAAGACTTCCTTAAGTTGTACCATATACTAGACTTCAGCCAATTAATGGGTCCGGCAATCCTAGAGGTCTAGACAATATTCTAAAGAACCTGTGTTGAACCGTTTCAAGTTTGCGCATGTGAACCTGAAAGGCAGGAGACCAAACTACAGAAGCAAAAATAAGGATAGGCCTCAAAATCAAGGTATGCAGAGTTTTCAAGGACAGAAAATAATTAAAGCCAACACAATTTCTTTGAATGAAACACAGTAGTTGGTTTGATTTATTTACAATGAACTGAACTGAATGTGCTCAGAAAATGACATTTTACTGTTTAACTATGAAATTAACTCTAAAATAGAGTGTGTCTTAAATATTGGATTTCTTGGAGTTACTTGACCTTGATCTAGTGAAAGTAACACATTTACACTTATCAGTATTCACACTAAGATAATTATTTAAATACAGCACAGCTAACTTGTCGAGGGCATTTTGTAAACAAAGAACATCGCTTGAACTGCTAACAGACTAAAAAAGTTTACAATCGTCTGCAAAAATAGGCACTACCTCATTAACAAAATGTGAATCATGAATAAACATTATAAATAGCAAAGGACCCAAGTGTAAGCCCTGAGGAACTCCAGAAAAAACAGAAAAACAAGTTAGATATAGAGTCCCTACATTTCACATATTGCTTTCTATCCGTCAGGTAGTTAAAGAACCAATCCAGTAACTTGTCAGTTATTCCAAAAGAGTAAAATATTTCTGTAACAGTAACATGTGATTCACTGAATCAAAGGCCTTGCTAAAATCTGTACAGATGCTATCAACTTGCCAATTCTTTTCGAGTGACTCTCAATGTATTGGGCATAGTAAACATGCATGAATACTTCGTTTGCTTATAAAATCAAAAACCCTCTCGGGCAGAAAAGGACAAATTGATGGTTTCAATTTATCAGAAACAATGGATTCGAAAGTTTCGGTATAGTATTTAATATTAAGGCTGAAGTCTAATATAAGGTACACCTTTGGAAGTCGTTTAAACTGGCACTTCACGCCCCTCTGTCTTTCTTGAAAAGTAATTGGACGGTAATTAACAATACCACTTGTTACCAGACTTAAAGCTAGGGATAACATAGGAGGACTTCCATTCATCAGGAAAAGAGATTTCCGATAATGATCTGTCGAACAAAAGTTTTAGAATTTGGGATGAAATGAAGCTAGTATTTTTAAGAAAAATTGATGGGATGCAATTGGGACCGGTACGTTTACCCACATCCAATCCAAAAATTTTAACATAAATTTCAAAAACAGAAATATCAATACTAATGACTGTGTTGGGAGTCTGATTTGGGAAACCAAAATTACCATCTTGCTTCAATGGTTGGGTTAGAAAAATAGACAGCAAATTCATTAACAATTGACAATTCCTGTCAACAAAGGATGTACCATTTCTATGCATTTCAGATTTCTTGAGAGTTTATATATCCCCAAAAATACTCTGGACTTGAAATCGGTTGCTTCTGGATAGGAGTATTATAATTATCAAAATCATGCTTAGCTAACTTTAAACAACGATATCTCAGATTAAAGAATAAGGTATAGTGTATAAGCAAATCAAGTTTCTTGTAACATAACTTTTTTGCGTTCAAGATATGAAATGTGCCCACTACTGTACCAAATTGGAAAGCTAGAATATCTTCTATGTTTTAACAGAACATACACCTCAACTTGTAACTGAAATTACTTAACAATTACCGGCTGAAATGTAGTATACGGTACAACCTAAAAAAGTCTTTTAAACTGGCACTTCGCAGCGTTCCAGCTTTAACTAGGCAGTTAGAATTCTGAAGGCTTTCTTGAAAAGTGATGTCTTATAAAAGTGAATTGGTAATTATGCGTTGGATGATGAGCGAAGCGAGATAACTTGCCTTTGAAAGTAAATTAGTGGAAATTTACAATGTGACGGGGACAAGGCAAATGAAGGGCGACCCCATAAAAATCGCCTATCCGTAAGTTTTATTCATTTCTATTAGAGCACTTACAATAATTAGAGCTTAAGCCCCACCGCCACGCTTCTCTAAGGGTGTACTGTATACTAAAGTTTAACCCAATTATCTGTACAAGTAAACTGAACAATTACCATGCTTTCAGATTGGAGGCAGTTAAAAAAAAGTTCTAAAATAGATTTACCGATGGCGTTCCAGGATTGGGAGCAATTGTATATTAGCAATAACATCAGCAGTTAATAAGATAAAGTCACTGCGAATGACAGCTTTGGCATCCAAGTCTCTCATGGCATCTCCAAGAGTTCTGCAACTTTCTGACACCATTACACTCACACTCATAAGTGCACTTCTTTTGCTCCATTTAGAATTCCTAAAATAAAATAAGAAATTTATTATAAAGTAATGAGAGCTTACATTACATGCTCTAGAATTAAAGTAATAACATACTTGATATATTTCTTGAATCGATCAGCATGAGAACAGCAGAATAGAATTACTTCTTGTACGCCAGACAGCGATAGAAATTCTAAACTATATTCTAGAATTGGTGAATTCACTAATGGAATAAGCGGCTAAAATGTTACAGAATTAGATATGAAAAATGACATAAAATTAAATTGAATTCAAAATGAAAAAAAATCGATCTGTAGATACTTACAACTGGGATATAGAAGGATACTGGTTCGAACCACGAATTAAAGTTGTCACAAATGACAACAGCTTGCAATACGTCTTCTTTCTTCATGGTTTCGGAAGATTTCAATTTATTTCCACAGGTATTCGACATGATTGGAAGTCTCACTCACATTTACACAATTAATCTACGCATTTGAATTCGCAATCGCAACGAAACATTAATTGTTTAGTAATTACCCATTTAAAAGCTCATTGGGGATTATAACCTCACGCTAATTTACCACGTTGACGACAGGTTGACGATGTCAGAGAGTACGGAGCGTGTAATGTTTACCCTGGTTTACCCAAAGAGCAGGGCCGATTCACTTTTCATTGTTAAAAGGCGGGGGACTAAGTTTGTTTCCTCAGTCACGGACCCGATGCAGATAGCGCAGCTGTTGCATTTTGGCACGCATTTTCAAAGTAAAGTTGTGTGAAATGGTTGTGGTGCGTATAGGGAATATCCATGAGTATTATCTGTTTTTCATAAAATTTATTACAAATAATTAATTGTATTATTTGCAAAAGATGGGTAAATGTTCCGTAAGAGAGTGCTCTGGGAGGATGCCTTTTCATGCTCGCCAAAAATCAACTGATGCGCAAACGATGGTTGAAAAACAAAAATCGCCAATTTACCAATTAAATAGGTAAATTATATATGAAATATTATAAAAGTTAATAAAATTGTACTAATAAAATTAATCTAATATGCCCACTTTGATACAATTGGTGAGACAGAACCTCACTTCTATAGAAGAGATATTTTTTATAGTAGAAAATTTACAATCTGCCCAATAAATGGGTATCTGTTGACCATTAAATAATTTCTTGGTTACATATGACAATTTTTAATGAATATTTAACGTGAATACATAGATGAAAAACGGAGAAATGGTATAAAAATCTCATTATTTCGTAAATTCATATTAGTAATAGGAAACAAAAATGAAAAATTGGTCCAGTTGTCTAACTGTTGATACCTGTTCAATTATTTGATGTCAATTTGTTTAAATTAAAATCTTCTTTTATCTTAGATCCTGACCTTGGAACACCATCATTTGAGATTTCTTCATGAATTGTATCCACAGAGAAATAACGAAAAAGACAACAAAGAAAGTTGAAGAGACTAGAAAAGGCTGGAATTTATTAAGAGACAAGGAAGATACCATGATGCAAAATAAGTTACTACAACCCAGTGTAGTAACTGTGAGATATACACTTCTGGAGAACTTTGGAGAAAAATACGTCATTCATGTAACATGTAACTGATAGTTGATTGGAATTATTATTTTGTGATGAGATTGAAGAACCCATTATATATTTTTGGTAAGGCTGAAAAAACTGGTGTTTTTTTTAAATCTGATGTTTTAAAATTTAAATCAGATTAACTTGATTTAAATAATATTTTTAAATATTGTATTAGATATTTTAACTTAAAACCAAAATTGTTAAGTGATTTATTTATCCTTAATTACTTTAAAAGCAGAAAAAAGTTTATGAAAATATGAAATTTTAAATTTATAATTACATTATTGTTTGTTTGTTTTACTTACTGTTTTTTCTTTCTCAAATAGATACAATACATTTGAGGGGTCTGGTGCAATACTGCACTAAGCCACAAAATCTTTAAATTTGAATACTTACAGTTGCATGCTCTTAAAACACTTCTCATATGTTCACATTATCAAATAAGCTTGTGGCAGCACCTATTAACTTGGTTCAGAAAAAAGGTATTCTTTGTTCAAAAACATTTTACCATTCTTTTCTGTAATACTACCTGAATCAAAAAACCTCTTACTGTTGAAAACAACCGATTTCTTCAAAAAACGTACCACAATGTTAGACAATTTTTGAAATATTAAATGATATTTAATAGTTGTCATGTTCCTTCCCACTTGAATGGTATTTTATCAAAATACACAAGGAAAAAGGTTAATATTATTAAAATTCGTAAGATTAACTACCGTTTTCATTAGTTTAAACAATATTAATTTTATTTTTTAAGTGAGTATCAATAAAATTCCATTTTTCTTAATGCTCAACTTCTGTAATATGTTGTACATCATGTGGCATTAGCAAACATTTTACTCCAAATCTAGAAATGAATACGCTTGAAGCTTTATATGCGTTTTTCTTGAAACTAACTCAGTGTGTGTATTGTTCCTAAATTAGTTTTTATCTACAGACAATGAAATACTGGATAAAAACTATTATATAATCTAAGTCCATTAGTAAATAACTACTACAAGTTGTTTATTGTTCATTTCATAAGCATGTTCATTTTAATGTATATTACATTGTATTTTTTTTCTTCATTTTTTTTTTCGAAATTGTTCAATTATGAGAAAAAGTTTAAAAGAAATATAATATATTCTTAATATAAACTGTATAATTGATTTACGTCTCTATCTGTACAACTTCTTTTTTCAAATATTTGAAATTCAAATATTTTTCACATATTACAAATAATAAATATTAACTTATATCATTGATTTTTTTAAATTATCATTTGATTTAAATCATGATTGAAATAATACCAGCCTTAATTTTTAGTGACATTTTTTAGCCAAAAATAGAATTGTAATTTTGATACAATATCAATCATTGGTTCAGTGACTACTCGTATTTTGTGTCTTTCAAAACAAAGGAAAATGAAACAAATGCATAAATTACACTAGTTTTATGTTGAGCAAGTCGATTCACCTTGTAGTTAGTAATTACTTCTTCTTCTTCGACGGTTTCTACCCCTTAGAGTTTGCCGTTTTCGATTTCCATAATTCTCGGTC